TTTTGCAAGGCCAATTCATTGAAGAAAAAAATTAGACCGCTAACCTTCATCGTTTTGATGTAACACTTGTTTCTATTTTTTAGATCTGTAGCTAAAATTACTATTAGACCTAGGTAAATAAAAGAAATAATAAATAACTGCCCCTCCATAGTCGGTGGTAAATAAAAAAAAATAATAAATAAATGCCCCTCCCTAGTCGGTGGTAAATAAAAAATAATAATAAATAAATGTCCCTTCCTAGTTGGTGGTAAATAAAAAAAAATAATAAATAAATTCCCCTTCCTGGTCTGCATTAAATAAAAAAATAATAAATAAATGCCTCTCTCTTGTAAGTGATAAATAAAAGAAAATAATAAATAAATGCCCCTCTCTTGTCGGTGGTAAAAAAAAGAAAATAACAAATAAATGCCCCTCCCTAGTCGGTGGTAAATAAAAGAAAATAATAAACAAATGCCCCTCCGTAGTTTGTGGGAAATAAAAGAAATGATAAATAAATGCCCCTTCCTAGTCGGTGGTAAATAAAAGAAAATAATAAATAAATGCCCTTCCCTTGTCGGTGGTAAATGAAAGAAATAATAAATAAATGTCCCTCCCTAGTCGGTGGTAAATAAAAGAAAATAATAAATAAATGCCCTTCTCTTGTCGGTGGTAAATGAAAGAAATAATAAATAAATGTCCTTCTCTTGTCGGTGGTAAATTAAAGAAGTAATAAATAAATGCCCCTCCCTAGTCGGTGGTAAATGATAGAAAGTAATTAATAAATGCCCCTCCCTTGTCGGTGGTAAATAAAAGAAAATAATAAATAAATGCCCTTCCCTTGTCGGTGGTAAATGAAAGAAAATAATAAATAAATGCCCCTCCCTAGTCGGTGGTAAATGATAGAAAGTAATTAATAAATGTCCCTCCCTAGTCGGTGTTAAATAAAAGAAAATAATAAATAAATGCCCTTCTCTTGTCGGTGGTAAATGAAAGAAATAATAAATAAATGCCCTTCCCTTGTCGGTGATAAATGAAAGAAATAATAAATAAATGCCCCTCCCTAGTCGGTGGTAAATGATAGAAAGTAATTAATAAATGCCCCTCCCTAGTCGGTGGTAAATAAAAGAAAATGCCTGTCATCAATGGAAGGAAATAGTTACACATTATACCAAAGTATTCTAGCATCTTATCTTACAAACACTTTACCTTACTCTTCTACTTTCCCACACTATAAACATTATAATGTACCATGCACATTGGACAGTAATGGAGGGGGGACCTTTAGGATAACAAGAAAAGGACCCATGAAATTAAATTTGGAAACATTTCTGTTCTTTACAATATCTTTCTAATGAGAAAAGTTTTCATGGTTGCAAACACGTTTTTACAAAAGAATTAAAGTTAAATGTTTCTCTTCTCTCATTAACTTTATGAATGCGGCAAGTACAGACAAATAATGTTTACATAAACTAAATCCACTTTTTGAAAATTTTTACAGATTTTGAATTCATATCCCAATCTAATTCTAGGGGTTATTAAAAATGTCTATGTATACCTTGTAAATTGTCAAGGACATTGGACATCATAAACACCTTTCTTTTTGCCAATTTTCTCAAATATTAGAACCGGCAAAAAAAATTTTAATAAGATTCGAGTTACTTCTTTTTTTCATGTTTACATAGTAAGGATTAACTTTATCTTCAGAGGTTTTGTGATTTTTCTATTCTTACATCTATATATACATAATATAGTATTATATATGAAAGAAAAATGAATCAATACAACTACTCATTTGATCTAATATTCGACGAGTCGGTTTTTCTCACAATTTATTATTATTTACAAAGATACAAAAACTATAAGAAAATACTATACGAATCAAATTGCATGAATTGAGAATAGTTCAGAGTGATGGGAGATCTCCAGGGGAACCTATTAACTAGGGAGCTGGTCTTCAACTGCCATTTTTCCCCAAATTTCACTCCACCCTAGCCTAGAGCTTAACCCTCGTTCCCCGGGAGCTGGCCGGCCATCCCCCCAGCACCCGGGCCTCAGGAATAACGGAACAATTGGCGTGGCTTGGTTATCGGCGTGGCTTGGGTTATTTATAGAATTCACATACAAGCACGAATAAATCCGTTAGATCTGTACAAGGGATAGAGGAGGAGGGGGGGAATGGAAGAAGGAGAGAGAAGAAAAACCCTTTTATGATCGCAGGAAATATCAACACATCACTTTCCTGCTACAATAGTTTTGTTTTTCTGGGTGTTTTTTTTTAGCCATAGAGGGGGGTTACATTAATGTGGGGGGGGGGAGGGTGAAAAAAATGTTTATTATTGTGATACAGGTTTTACCTAGTTATTTACAAACGCAGTTAATAAACAGAGGCTACTCATAATGTACAGGGTTTGTTCAGGTTTACAGATATAGGGTTTATGACGATATGTATTACAATAAGAAAAATTCATTGCAATAAACGAGGCAGAAAAACGAGGTTATCTTCCACAATTTGTATCAGAAAAAGGTTTCACGGATATATATATATTCATATATGTATACAATATACATACATATATGATATACGCTCAGTACGTTCAGAGGAATTTACAGTAATTAATTAGATTAAACTGCATTGATCAGCTGATGTGGGGAGTTAAATATATTGTTTTAATATAATCTTCAGTGATCCATGTTCTACTCGTGTATGGAGCTCGATCTGTATAGAAATTAATTCTGAACAGAGCTCAAAGAGTGAAAACTAGTTTACATGTAATATTTAATACTCAATTTTTTTACGTAAAAAATACATAGATGTTGGGATTTACACTCAGTTCCACTACCCTCCCTCTAGGCTCTACTTTATATGGGTATATTTGGCTTGTCTGACTGTATCCGTTTAAAGTCAAAACGGCTGAACCGATCGGGCCCAAACTTATATTGCCCAAGGGTTTAGGATTAAAGTTGAATATAAAAATGCTGCCTGGAATAAATATCGACATTAATTAATTTTGAAAATGCGCCAATTTTAATTTGAAAACAACCAAAAATTGCGACTTTTAAAGCAATAGTTAAACGCTTAAACTGTAAGTATGAAAAGCCTAGTTTTACAATTAAAACAAACTAATTCTAAATCTTTTTGGAGAAGGAATTGGAAAACTTGAAAAATAATTCGATTTGAAGAAATTCGTTACACATGCAGTTAAAGTTTTTAAAATATTCAAATCATGCACCTGTTTTTTTAATCAGTAGAAATATACTTATCGTTTAATTAAATGGATTATCTGGAATTTGATAAATGATCTGAGTTCTTGCCAACAACTGAAATTTGTTAATCCCCATATCTGTGCAACCTTACTGTGTAAATATTAAGGTTTAAAGAGTACTGTTGTGAATCGGGGATTCCTCTCTTTAAATTTAATTCACTTATAATTTAGCTTATAGTCCCTTTAATGAAAATTCACTTATAATTTAGCCTATAGTCTCTTTAATGGAAATTCACTTTAATTTAGCTTACAGTCCCTTTAATGTAAATTCACTTTTAATTTAGCTTAAAGTCCCTTTAATGTAAATTCACTTTAATTTAGCTTACAGTTCCTTTAATGGAAATTCACTTATAATTTAGCTTATAGTCCATTTAATGGAAATTCACTTATAATTTAGCTTACAGTTCCTTTAATGGAAATTCACTTATAATTTAGCTTATAGTCCCTTTAATGGAAATTCACTTATAATTTAGCTTATAGTCCCTTTAATGGAAATTCACTTATAATTTAGCTTACAATCTCTTGAATGTGTGCCAATTTTTAATAATAATTGCACAAAAAAAATGGTTTAATTTAAATTTTGTTCTTAGAATGGTAAAAATATGTTTTAATATTTCAGCCTTATTCTTGTTCTTTGTTAAAATATACCAAGCTCTTTTCAGTCTATATTCAGGCCTAGCTAAACACGCCTTATCTGCGAATATTGGCGTTGTCTATATAAGCTTTGTATTTTGCAATTTTGCAACAGTGTATGACTGGATGTACATGAAGTATGAAGTAACAATAAACCTTGTAAGTAAACTTTGAGTCTCTCTCACTGAGATAGAAAAATATAGATTCGGGAAATATATTAGCAATCCCCAGAAACGATCGAATAAAAAGAATCTAAAAAAGTATAAAGAAATATAGTGCCGTATTTTCGGTACACATGGCGAGCGTGACAGGACATTCACTTATAACCTAACTTACAGTCCCTTTAACAATAAATAAGACTTTAATGATGTCTAAACAATACCCTGTGATCTTGCCACGCTACATTTGTTGCATAAAACGGGCCGCAGGTCAACTCTACACTAGGTAGCCTGACTGGACAGTACGACTTAGACAGTACACTAGGTAGCCTGACTGGACAGTACGACTTAGACAGTACACTAGGTAGCCTGACTGGATAGTACGACTTGGACAGTACCGGCAAGGATCATGCAACTTTTAAACTGGGGTGACTATTCTGTATGAAGTCAAGGGCAGATACCGCAAAATTAATATTGAAACTTTTAACTAAACATGGAAATATGTCATGATTCATGGAGTGGATTTAATCTTGGTAAAGAGCCAGCCCGCTACGAAATTAGTAGAGCAGTACACTATTACTTTTCTATATTTGAGTAATTGATGATCTGAAACTCTTAAAATACAACAATTTGAAGATTAATAGAGTTTGCAAAGAAATAATCAAGTTTACAAGAAAACGCTGAATAAATTTTGTAAAGTCGTCTTTTCAGTCTTATCCTCTGTGGATACTCCTGTACCTCTGTAGATATGTTAACGTAAATACTCAGTTTGTTAACGTTATCCTTCCTGTTCGCTTAAATATACTGTTTAATATTATAAACAGGTGCACAGAAGAGGCCTTTACAGGAAAACTTACTAACTCTGGATATAATAAATTTTTACAATATAATAATGTAAAAAACATATTTTGACTATATAAAAGTTAGAGTTAAAATTAAGAAATTTATAAAACTTTCGTAAAATTTCAGAAAATATTGGAGGTTTGGAGAAAAATGTTAAAGCCATCAGTACGATTTCATCCTTCTAGGTATTGTCCCCTTTTATTATAATATTATTCTCAAAAGGGATTGCGTCTTTGACAAAAACTTTGCAACCCAATGTCGTAGAATTAAGTTATTGTTGAATTTTATTGGATCAAATAATTTAAGTTTGAAATATCGAAGGTGTACACGATCAGGTTGCAAAGATATACGGATTAGAATATTTGAGTTGGCGACACAGCTCAGACTTAATTCCTATATAAATTTTCTTAAAAGTGCAGAAAATGTTGGTGGTTTGTAGTAAGATGTTGAAGCCATCAGTACGATTTCATCCTTCTGTAATAAATACCGTAGCAAATCCCATATTTATAAACGAACACACCTGAATTTGTATTGCGATTAATCTTTCTACGATTGTAAAAAACGATCGTAAAACGATCGTTTTTTGTTTCGTTTTTCTTTTGTTTTAAAAACCGATCGTTTTTGAAAAAAAAAAATTTATTGAAAATTATGTTAACGATCGTTAACGAAATGACGAACTTTATAAAAACGGTCGGTTTTGGAAAAACGATCGTTTTAGAAGAAAAAAAATTACATGCAACTTTATTGAATGTCGTCTTACATGAATTTAAAAAGTTGTGGGGTAGCTAAAACTTCTTGATATTTTCTAAATCACTACTCAATGATGCCCCTCAGGTCGGTTTCCTCTCTTCTTTAACGATCGTTAACGAAACATCGATTTTTTAAAAAATGATCGTTTTGAAAAATGACAATTTTTAAAAAAACGAACTTTTTAAAAAAACGAACTTTTTTAAAAAACGAACGATTTTAAAAGCATGTATTATTTTTTTAAAACAAATATCAAAGTGTGACACGCATTTTTCAAAAATATAGCTTTTAGATCTGTAGCTTTAGTCACAAAAATGTTATAGGCTATTTTAGGATTTTTTTTCACAGACCGGACTTTTTCCGCCTGGCCCTGTGGCTGTACCCTTCCCTGTAAAAAAAAATCCTTTAAATCACTTTTCATTAAAAGTCACAAAATTTCACGGCGATAGTGTCAAAAAAAATTAAGGGGGATGCCAAACGCCCCCCCCCCCCAGCGTGTTTAGTGTCAATGTTTACAATAAGCTGTTCTAAATACATATACGCAGTATTTGTATACATCAGACAAATATTTCTTTATTTCAAATTGATTACCGTCTGCAATGCATGTATGATCATATGGTAGGGCGGGCCGGGTCATTTCCTTCTCCATCATAGTCCATACTCCTTGAGACAGTCAAGCAAAGTGCGTATATGTATATATATGTTTGAAGGTTGGTGGAGATGAACGGGAAGGAGATGAACAAGATGAAGGAAATTAAGGAGGGGAAGGAGGTGAAGGGAATAAGAAAATTAGCTCAAGTTTTTACTTCACAAAATCTGTCCTCTCAGGAGCAATGGTATTATTCTATTAAAAATTAACATGGATTAACATTTGAACCGAATTTTGCATAGTTCAATATATGACCACAATATTCGTTATAAGTTAATCAGAAAGATTAAAAACAAAAGTAATCTACCACTACGAGAAAGCTACAGTTTAAGTATAAAAATCCAAAAGAGAAACTTATATACTTATATATTTTCCACCATATGTCGTAGACCTTTGGTAATTATTTTAAACAATTTTAAATGTCAAAGATGTACATCTTCAGGGTGCAAAGATATGTAGATTTAAAAAATGTGGGGTTTTGGGCGTGACATAAACTAAGCTTCTTTAATGTGAAGAGGTTAGTTTTAATTATAAATTTTAATTCCATGACTTTACGCATTTGTAACGATGACAAAAATTTATAAAATCCAAGAACCTACAATAATTAATATTTATACATTAGGTTTAAATTTAAAAAAGGACTGTAAGCGTAATTTAGCATCATTCTCCATGCAAAGATGAAATACCATATTTAAAGCTTTGGCTGACCAAGACTGAATTAGATATCAATGTTTATCATTTTGAAAACTTATTATTTTTAATTGTAAATTATTTACACAAGTGACTCGAGCATTTCATAAAGGAATTTTCAAACTATAACTTTTAAAGCTAGAAAACCCACAATATCTTCCACATTATTATTCATGATTATTCTGAAATTCCGGCATCCCCGTTTTTGCTTTTTAAACCCCATCTTTATTTTGTTTATTGAATTCTATAAACAAAATCTGAAGTTTTCATTCAGGATAGTTTACGGACTTCTGTGTTTGGATAGAAATGAAATAAATTTCACAAGTAAATACACATTAAAACTATTTTACACATCTTCTAAATGTGCAGTTCATTTTTTAGCCCTCTAGAAACCCGACCCAATCAAGTAGGTTTTTAAACACTTTTGTTCTGGAAAGTACTCAGCTAGGAATAATTTGATAAAATATTATATTTTGATGTAAACAGCCGTTTGATAAATTAGCATACAATGCTTGATAGAATCTACAAAATAAATTGTGAAAATGTAGGAAATATCAAAAATAATACAAAAATTTCATAATTCTTTATAATCGTTAAATTTAACCAGCTTTGAAATGTCTTGTCACATTGTTTGGTATAAGATCATGCTAATTCAATAATGAACACTGAGCTAGGAACGTTCAAAACTCCTACTTTGGGGGTGGATACGTTTTCAGAATTAGTTTTTTTAAACCATTAAATAACGACGACATAAAATGTAAAAAAAGTTCTTCAATTAAATACAGACGTCATAAATAGGAACATGTTGAGAGAATAAAAATGTATCTTTTCATCGAAAATAAGTTCTCTTGTTCAATTATTAGCTTCTATTTTCTCATTATTCTGGTTTCTCATTATTCACAAAGATTTTTGGCAGATTTTCTAGAGTTATTATTGAAAAGAAGACATTTGAAGAATTTGAAGAAATCTGCTAATAAAATCAAAGAAGATAAGAAATTCAATATAATAATAAAAACGAAATAATCGATTTTAGCATAGATTTTTGACAAATTTCTTCATGTTCCTAACCATCCAATTAGATTACTGTATAATTTTTACTTGATTTTTCGTTGTCATTGTTTAATAATTAAAAAAAAAACTAAACTCAGGATTTACAGATTTTTAAAAAGTTTAATATGTCTCAAATGAATCCGAAAGAAGTTTTCCACAACACTGCATACTCAGTTTAACTACCTTACATTGCCTTTAAATGGAGATTTTTTTGTATTTACTGTTAACTATTTTTCATTTAAATATTAATGTACAAAAATAGTTTTACGCCAATTTCGACGGATTTTGAATTAAATATTTAAATGACTAAAAATATTGCGAGAAAAGATTTTCGTTGTAGTTAGTTAGATAGCAAATTGGGAATGGACCAAAATTAGCAACTCTGGGGTTTTATCCAAGGGAGTGTTCGCAAAAAATTAAAGTTTCCGATGCAGGAAACCCCATGACCATAATTTTGCTTAAGCAAAAAGATTCTTAAGGAATATATTAACAAACTCAAAGAAACTCTAATCTAATTAAATTTTCTCATCCCTATTGTTTGCCACCCAATGTCGTTATACCTTGGAGATATTTTAAACTATAAATTCTGTTAGAGTAAAAAATCTTGTTTTAAAATATCAAAAATTAACATCATCATGTTTCAAAGATATAGGGATTAGAAAATTGAATTTGTGGCAGACTCAAATCCTTTTTTTTTTTTTATTTCCCACAACTATCAGTGCATATATTTTCTAAACAAGCATTTTGTAGTTTCTTTTCAATTTTATTTTAATTTAAAATGTTCAGTTTGGAGACTGTACTTCATTACCCGGACTATACAGGAACCATGGAATATGATATAAATGTATTTTCTATTTAGTTTTAACGTTTTAGCATTATCTTTTTAGATAAAAAACTTAAACAAACACAATCTTTGTTTAATAAGGACCGTGTTTATTCAAATTGTAAAGATAAACTTCTGTTCTGTTTGAACTTTTAAAGATTTTTGTTTTACTTTGAGGCTGGTTCAGTAACCATATATCTATATCTATATATCGAGATCAAACAACTGAGAAGAATCACATACAAATACTGAATATATTTGGTTTGGCTTTGGCGGAACTCTTGAGACTTCTAGAGGTGGAAAATATCGACTTCCACAATCGTTTTTTATCTTAAAGAAAATGAACAATGTATTCTGTTTTAAAGTTTATAGTGTCATGTATGACTGGGGTCTAATTTTGGTTTTATTTCTTAAAATAAAGAATCCCCAAACATCATGTTTGTCTAAAATTCAAGGAAACTTTTTCTACTCTCTAAGAATTTCCAAAATCTATAATTTTGCTACGGAGTACTAAAGCGGTGTTTAATCAGGTTGGTTTAAGCACAACCTCAGTACAACATATAATCTAAAAAGACTTGAACATTCGAGATTCTGCCTTAATCTTTAGAGCACGCCATTTTTAACAATGTCTAAATTTAATGAATTTGAGCCGCGTCTTAAAAGGACTGAAAAGAAAAAATGAAAGGGGGTATAGGCTGAAAGCTAATCTCTTTAGCTCTTGATCGCGACCCATGAAAGTCATATCTGATGTTCCTGTCTCAAGAAATTGATATAAAACTGTGTCAAATATATACGAAAATAAATATATATACAATTTTGTATAAAAGTAGTAGGTTTAAACAGATCATATTCAGCAAATAAGCAACCAATCTGAAAACGATGATATCCCAGAGAAAGCTAATTGTAAATTAGGTTTACTTTTATATTTGTTATTTCTATTTTCAATAGATTTCATTCATGATATTATTTTTACGTCCGTATTACTTGACATGAAATTCCACCAATGGCAGTGCAGTAAAGTGGTCACGTGATACAGGCGGAGACACGTGACCAGTATACTGCTCTGCCATTGGTGATAGTTCTGGTCACGTGATTTAAGTTTAAGACTTTCAAAATTTTACATATATGAATTTTCGTATAATTTAACACAGTTTTATATCAGTTTCTCGAGACAGGGACATTAGATAAAACTTTCATGGGTCGCGATCAAGAGCTAAAGTGATTAGCTTTCAGCCTATACCCCCTTTCATTTTTCCTTTACTGTCCCTTTAATCTTTACAGCACGCCATTTTTAAAATAGAATGGCCCACGGAGAAACATGTATGAACAAATTTTTTTGAAAATTTTAGATATATATTTTCTTTAATTAAGATGGCTTACGCCACAAGCTCAGTGTCTGAATTTAATGAATTTGAGCCGGGTCTTAAATCCGCCAAAAAAAACGGTTTCAATTGAGTGCTGGCTTAAATCTTGAAGAAATGAATACAATTTTAAGTGGAACCAACCATATTTGAGCCGCAGTTTAGATTTAAGCCGCAGCTCAAATTCTTTAAATTCGGCCTCAGGTCATATGCAAACTTAAAAGACTTAAACCTTGATTACATTACATCATGCTTTAAATTAAATTATTAAATCCGACAGGGGGGATCTGAAAAACTACTCCAAGCATGAATTCCATGTTTGATGTAGAAGAGCGGAATATTGTTGAACTAAACCTGGATTTCCCGTCAGTATTCTCCAAGGTCGGAGCAGGAGAAGGTTCTCGCAGATTTGGTCGAAGTAAGAGCATCCTTGAAACCAACCAGGGGACGGATGTTACTGATGGAGGTCAATATTTAGATTCAATATTCTTAGGGGGGGTGGTTGACACCCCCCCCCCTTCCTTTATTTTTTTTGTCCTAGCACTCTCCCTTTTTACATTAACACCGGAAAATGTCCCGATTTAAAAACTTCCGTCTGAATAAGTGCTTATCTAAAACACTTGATCTCGATATTTTCTTTGACAGCTTTTGAATTTGAGTGATTTAATCCACAGGTTTTAGATGTAGTTTTAAGTTGCTTAAACAATATATTTAAAAGTATATTATTATGGTTTTAACATAATACATTTTCTATCAGAAAGGCTTGTTAAAGTTTTATTCAGTCATTTTGAAAAATTTGAAGTTTTAAAATAATATTTCATTTAAAAAACATGTAATTTTTTTACAGTGAATTTGGCCATTTTTATGTTAAAACCATTAGTAGCTTGTGGGTTAGAAGGTGTTAAAAAAAAAATTTTAAATCAATTTTAGTGAAAAAGTGCAACAGAGAAATTTTTTTTAATCTTTTCTTAAAAATCAAAATTAAAGGACTAGAAGGTGCCTGATCCCTATTTTTCAAAGGAGGGTGACATCCCACTAGTTTTCTAGGGAGGGGGACGTCCCCCAAATTTTCTAGGGGGAACCCCTCCCTGAAATCATGCATTTCATATAAATTTAAGTAAATAACAAATTTTGTGTACTGTACCATTTACCGTCCTAAGCCTGTATATATAAAATAAACTGTATGTCCACCAACCACAATAGAACTTCTCTAAAAGAATTCCTGATTTGAAAAGGCAGTTTAGCCTCCTTGTGGGGCAATTTATCTCTCTATACTGTGCACGATAAATACTGCAGGAAGTACGCTGCTTAATCTATATCTATAAAAAGTTGTAATCTCTGTTTGTCTGTTTGTTTGTCCGATCATAACTCAGAAACCCCTGCACTGATTGGCCTAAAGTTTTGATTGGGGAACTTGGGAGACCCACGGGAATGTTCTTAGCTTACTTTTGAGATTCTAAGTTAAGTGGGTCGACTTTTATAAGAAAAAATAGCTAAAATCGTAATTTACGACCATGAGGGCGGGTAAATGATATGAGTAACTATTAGTACTCTGGCCTATGCTGGGTTCTCAAACTAGTATTCTTATTAAAGAAAGTAAAAATTCTGTTTTACTGGTTGTAGGGTCATTTGAGAATATTAAATCCTTGATTGATGTTAATACAAATTATTGTTTTATAGGTTTAGATTATCGAATGCTGTTTGTTTCTAATCGACCATTAGAAAACCTGATAAAAGCAGTTCTGAACAATGATTTAGAAATGATTAGGTAAATAAAATACAATGTCATTTTCTTTTAAAAAAAAATATGATTATCACGTGTCTCCGTCTGTATCACGTGTCTCCGTCTGTATCACGTGACCAGTATACTGCACTGCCATGAAACGAGATATAACTTTGTCTATATATATTTATACTTGAAGAGAAAACATGAACTGCAGTCTTCTATATTACAAGAGTTGAATATATTAAAAATGAAAAATTATTAATAATAAAAGAAGCAAACTAAGTTTTTCAGGCTCCTCTAGGATGTCGTCGTTTTCAGGCTCCTCTAGGATGTCGTCGTTTTCAGATTGGTTGCGTATTTGCTGACCTAGGATTTTTATACAAAATTTTATATATAAATTTTTGTTTTACAGTTTTATATAAATTTCTCAACATCAGATAGAACTCTTGTGGGTCTTTATCAACTCCTAAAATGCTTAGGTTTCAGCCTAGACCCCCTTTCCTTTTTTCTTTACAGTCCCTTTAAAGGGGAGTGTTTGCCAAAATTAAAAAGGGGTAAATGTTATGAACCATTATCAAATCATGAATTTAAAAAATAACTTGATATAAACCATGGATGGTCCACTGTACCCAAAATGCAAGAAGGTTTACCCTTGCAGTGCAAGCAGAAAATTCATACCGCATAATCTTAACAGAATATTTGGACAAAATGAGAAATAACCTAAACGTTAGCTGTTAAAGTAAAAAGTTCACTTACTCTTAAAAATGTTCATAATAAAGAAGAAAAGAGTTTTATTTTTGCCGAAACAATGAAAACCCGCTGTTGTATTCTCATAGAAACTTCACACCTTTGAGCTCTACGAACGTTCAGGCCCTCAGACCGAATTTAAAGAATTTGATTCGTGGCTTAAATTTAAAACCCGGCTCAAATATGTTTGGTTCCGCTTAAAATTGTATTTAATGTTTCAATATTTAAGCCGGCGCTTAATTAACACCGGTTTTTGGCAGATTTGAGACGCAGCTCAAATTCATTACATTCGGACTCTGGAACAGAAAGACTGTATTAATCCTTGATTAAATAAACAATTTTTAATATTTTGATTAATGTTACTTCGAGACTTTTTTTCAATTGACTTGGTGATAGATATAACTCTATAAAAATATTAAAATACTTTTCGTATTTTTTGCAGGAAAACCTTAGACGAACATGGAGACCTTTTAACTAAAAATGTTCTTAAGTTTAAGAAGAGAGTTTCTTACAATATGCAGGAAATACAGGTGATACAATTTGTTATGTTAAAATATAAATTACTGACAAAATTTGTTAATTAATTGTGTAAAAACATTTCCCCCTAACTAGCTAATTAAGACTTCAGAAAATAATGTTGGGATATTTGGTATTTTTGGTCAATTTGTTTTGGCCTGGTAATTATACCAGTTTAGCTTTAGCCAGAATACTTTATTTAACTAACTAAACTAAATTTTAAACTTTAAAATATCGAAATAAATAAATATCAAGGTGACGTGGCAGAATTTTCTAGATCCTCTTGCCGCGTTTCTGTATCCGGCTCAGACTCAGATCGTCTTCCGCCACACCAGCTGATCTTTGTTTAAATAAATATTACCCCACAATAATTGTATATATAATAATTGAATATATAATAATAAAATTATAATAATAAGCAAGTTTTTTTATAGACATACAAAATGAATTAATTAAATGTTATACAAACTTTTTTTTATGAACTACAATGAAAAAACGCTATTGCATTCAACGGTAAAATTGCAGTTAGGTATATCGCACACTATGTGAGATATAAATAAAGATACTGTTGATATATCGCAAAGAAAGAAAGTGTGCGATATATCTAACCTTTATTTTCCCGTTGAATGTTATAGATATATCTAATGAAACAATATTCTATATAGGAATGTGCTTTTATTTGGTTCGTTTATGGGTTTTAGGGTTTTTTTTGGGGTCTTTTTTTAGAGTTAAAATTTGGCATAATGTAAGAGAAGCAATGTTTTCTAAATTTTTATTCTAAGCATGTGTATTTCCTTAATTATGTCCAATTTTGACCCTGGCAGAAGATACACGCAACACTAACTCAAAAACAATCTATAAAACAAAGCAAAAACTATCTATAAAACAATGCAAAAACAATCTATAAAACAATGCAAAAACTATCTATAAAACAATGCAAAAACTATTTATAAAACAATGCAAAAACTATTTATAATACAATTTAAAAACTAACGGAATGTAACGATCGTTATTGGATCACTTTTGGATCGTTTTTGGATCGTTTTTGGATCGTTTTTGGATTGGTTGTGGATCGTTTTTCCATTGTTAACTTTTATAAGATAAAGATTTTGCATAGGTACATAAAAGAAAATTTTAACATAATATAGTTTAGAAATCTCATTACTTTTTTTCTGAAAACTATCCAAACAATTAACACCACTAATTTTAGATTTATAATTATTATGTTTTAGGCTGAAAAGAGATGGACAGATATTGAGATATTTGTAGATATTCTTCAGTTTGCTGTACTGCACCGTAAACATAAACCACTTGCAGTACTACTCGACTATGTACAGGGGTAGGTACCGTATAACGTCTTGATTAGTATATAGTAAGCACCAGAAAACTGTGAAATAAGAGGACGACATTAAAGCAATAATTAAGTGTATTTGATGTTGTTACAAAGCAAACAGTTTTACAAAGTGTGATCGATAAATTTCGCTAAAAAAAGTTAGGGGTACAATTGTAGAAGTCTCAGCCCTGTAATTTTTTTAAGTTCACTAATTTATGCCGGATTATTTTTCAGATCAGTTGATGTTAATCAGATCTTAAATGTAATGTTAGGAGCGTTCTTCCGAAAGTAATTGCAGCTTCGTTCGTCACAGCAAGAACATTTTCAGAAGGGTCTCAAACTTTGTTACCAGAGTCTGTTTTAGACCCTTTAAGAACGATAAAAAGAAAAATAGAATAGATTGAGTACTGAATGTATTAAGGACTTTTGAGGATTTTTATGGTTTTGATTTACATTTAAGATCCATTATCAATGTAATCCCTTTTGTCTTATGTCGGAGACCTGGGGACAAATTTAACCCAGATCTTTGTCATTTTTAAATCTTAGTTTACAGCTTTGTTTACAATGTAAAATCAGGCTGTCTGGCAAATATACTTCTTGAACCCATGGTAATATGGTTTGAACAATTTGAAATATTTTCGAACATTAAACTACGAATGAAGTTCATAAAATTATTTTAAAACACGTTCTGGATCATGTAATTCGTCTAATCAAAGCATTTTTTGGTAACCGAGTCTCCAAAGTGTTCCCGTTTCTCTGGTAAATATTCCACATATTCCTTTGCTGTGACAATGAAGTTAATCCAACTTCAGGAGAACACTTCCAACATCACAACAAACATCTGCTTGGCATGAACCAAGCCAAAAATGTATCTGGTACAGATATAGTAAATTTAAAAAAAAAAGATTTTAGAGCGGAGACTTCTAGAAACTTATTGATCACAGCTGTACTAGTGACTTCATAAATTACTTATTCAGTGAAAGGATTTGTTTGCACTGCACAATTAGGGTTTCTAAAATGTTTATTGGACTATTTAAAAAGTCGTCTTCCTGTTCTCACTCTTTATAAAGTGTTTTTTTAATATCATTTCACTGCTGTATAATTGCACAAAAAAACGATTAAAATTTTTTAAAAAATGTTTGAAATAAGAAATATAACAAGATTAATTTTTCTTTATATTGTATTGGTATTGTAGTTTTTTGCATGCATCTAAAACTTGTAAAAATTTTAGGGATATTTGCGAAGTTTTAAATAAACAAATCAGACTAAACTGCGGTCTGAGAAATGTATCTGCCTTTGATTATGAGGTGATAACTCACAAATTTATTTTTATATTTCAGAAAGGAATTTAGACTTTGTCACAAATTATGATTTCTAAATCCCTATATTTTTGCAACACAATGTTGTAGACCTTAGATATTTAAAACTATGCGTTCCGTCAGATCAAATAATCTAAGTTTGAAATTCTAAGGTTTACACCATTAGGTAGTAGAGATACAGGGATTAGAAAATTTGAGTTTGCTCGAAATTAAGCTATACCGCAAAACAAAACAAATTTTTCTAATGGTGAATTTATAATTCTCATTGCTATTGGACGAATCAAAAAAAGCTCTGCGATTTGAAATGTTCAAATTCTGTACAACAAAAAAGATATATTTTGTCAAATTCTATTATTAGGATGTAAAACTTGAAAGACGAAATCTATTCCATCTTGCAACAGAAATATCTTTGGATTGTTTGAAGATACTTCTTCAATTTAAGTTTACTCCGGACTTATTGATCTCAGAAGATGTAGGTAGGACCAATTTTAGTTTAAAGGGACTGAAGAGATAATTTCAAGGTACTCTCCACTCATTGACTGGCATGTCCGATTCACACCCCTCGATCCAAAGTTTTGTCTAATCAAAATTGAATGAGATATCTGTGTTTTTCTCTTTGAAAAATGTATCATTTTCACTAAGAAAATTAGAACAAACGTATTATTTACTAAAAAAACTGGTTATATATTGTACCAGGAAATTAAGCTTTTAGATATGCGGGATTCAATGAAAAATGTTGCATACTATAAAAGAAAGCTTATTTTTTTTTAGAAAACTGAGTATTTGGTTTAATCTATAGATTGGGACCTTGGCGGCCATTTTCTAAATTAAACACTTTAAAAGCTGTAGAAAATACCTTTCTCATTATTGATCAGATAAAGGAGTTAAATGGAGGGTTATTTTAAAATAAAAACGAAATCTTTAATTACAAATGAACCGGGTATAAGGACAAATTAAAAAGCTTTGAATTTTATTTTTTATTATTCTAAAGTCAATCTGATTTTCTTAAATCAGTGGCTGTTTGAAAAAAAAGAATTATTTTAGAGTGCCAGTTAAGATATAAAACTGAAAATAGATCTTTTTAGAAATCATCTGAAATTGGAGTCTTCATATATATGCTTACCACCTTTAAAAGAAACACATTTAATTCAAAACTAAGACTTACAGTGATAAACAATAAACTGTAGAATAGGAAGACGACATTAAAGCATTTGCATTTGATGTTGTTACAAATCAAATAGCTTGACTAGCAAAAAATTAAATCACTTATTAAGTGAAATGGGTCCGATTACACTGCAAACTTCTTGTACCTCGTTTTTATTTGACTATTTAAAGTTATAACTTGAGTCTAAAAGTCAACTTCCTACTCCAAAGTTTTTTGGATATTACTGTATAAATTTTCAAAATTATGAAATGTATTTTAAAGATTTAATCTGATGATGACTTTGAAGTATTATATAGTTATATGAATCAGGGAACAGTCCCTTAACATGCGTTTGGATTGGGAAGAGATGTTGGCTTCACCCCCTGGCTTGATGATGATACCGGAGTCTGGATACCCGCGCTTCTCAGATCCCTCTAAGTCAGTACTATGGAGATCTTCATTAGGTTCACACCTTGAGAGGTTCCCTGTAACGTACTACCCGATGAACCCTGATGCCGCTCCATTCTACCCGAACTGTAACTCCGTCACCCAATCCAGCTCACTCCATCTTCATTCCATCCATCCCCGCACCCTCCTCTCCCCCGCCTACTTTGAGGAGCCGTCTATCTCGATGTCGGAGATACATGAGGAGCCTGCGACCCGAGACTCTGGTGCTCCTGCCGCTACCCTGCATAGTGTTGATCCTCCTCTGCTTGTTGTTCCTGTTGTACGACATATGGATGGAGGAGATCTACAACAGCTCTTCCCTGAGCACGGGGAATATGAATCCCCGTGTCCGGACTTGGACGAGGATGAATCTCCCGTAGTGACGGATGAGACTAGCCTCAGCTCCAAGGATGAATATGAACCGTTCTACCATCCTCTTCAGAGTATGGAGTCTGTATGCGACCTGACGAGGTCCCTGGACCTGGACCGGATCCACCTGAGGAACTCCATAGCCCAGAGGGATGGGCTCCGAGCTGATCTACTCCAGCATGTGAAGAGTATTCTAGATACTCTGGATGATGATCTCTATCTCCTTTACCAAGCTCGGTATCATCTAGATGATCTTATCAAGAGATTTACGGAATCCCGTCCAAGGGATCAGACATCTTCAGCTCTTTAGAATCCAACCTAGTAAAAATAATGTGATTAGTACTGTATTTACTCATGTTCTTAATAATAATAAGGTTCTATAAAACTCTACTTTTGATTATTTAATTATAACTTGTTTACGTCTGAAAGACAAAGTAAGGATTATCTTTGACTGTTCAGATCACAACAACTTTTTCACTTTAGGAGGACGAACAGCATTTCACATTGCTGCTGGGAATTCGGGGATGGGAAGCTTTGAGCTGATTTTTAATGCAATCGGTGATCAAACCAATATCTGCATTAAGAAGGATAATGATGGAAATACACCTCTACACTACGCTGTTAAATTTGGTAAATCTAATTTTATTTTGAAAATTAATATAAAAGAAATTGAGCCTTTGAGGGTTTCCATTTTTCCGGGAAAAAATTTCCATTTTAGAAATGGAATGATCCGGCAATTTGTTGCGTAAACCGGAATTCCGGGATAATTCCGGTATAAATTGAAACCGGAAATTTTCCGGTTTACGTCATGTAAACCGGAAAAGTTTCCGTTTTATGGAATGGAAACCGTAAAATTTCCAGTTTCCATTTCGTAAACCGGAAAAATTTCCGGTTTCCATTCCGTAAACCGTAAAATTTCCAGTTTCCATTTCGTAAACCGGAAAAATTTCCGGTTTCCATTCCGTAAACCGGAAATTTTTACGGTTTACTTAACGTAAACTGGAAAATTTCCATTCCGTAAACCGGAACTTAAAGAATTTTTCTTATTTTAATTAAATTCATATTTACAAAAAAATCGAGGATCATTGCCCCCCCCCCCACTAGCTACTGCCCTGCTAGTGGTAGAGTCCCCCCCCCTTGGTTTATCAGTTACATTTTACACTATAGTAACTTTGAATGTTGATTATTGAGTAAAACTTTTTCTACCGTCCGGCATCCATCCATATATTGCTAGTGTTACTAACTGGTGTTGTATTTACATATGTAAGACTTTAATGTAATTCTGGTACCAAATGTTCCGGAAACCGGAAATTTCCGGAAAAATATTGATTAATGAGTATAACTTTTTCTACCGTCCGGCATCCATCCATATATTGTTAGTGTTACTAACTGGTGTAAGACTTTAATGTAATTCTGGTACCAAATGTTCCGGAAACCGGAAATTTCCGGAACGATTTTCCGGAAAATTTCCGGAACGATATTCCGGAACGATTCCTAATGCCGGAACAACGTTCCGGAAATTTCCGTTTTACGGAAAAAAATCGTTCCGGAAATCGTTCCGGAATTCCGGTTTTCCGAAACCTTTTCCATAATGGAAATGGAAAAAATTTCCGGATCATTTCCGTACGTAAACCGTAACCCGGAATTCCGGTGGAAACCCTACCACCAACCCAGTTTTTCTATATTTTTTTGCGTGAGAATTAAATTTGTTGTGTTTTCAGGCACCTTGGACACAATGCTCTTTATTCTGACCAACATCAGTTCACAATATCCATATATTACAAATATTGAGAACATGAAAGGGAAAACTTCTCTCTTCTACGCCAAAGATCCTAAAAGTGTGTATATATTATTAAATTTTGGCGCCAACCCTATGACAGGTAGAGATGGGCATTGTTTTTGTGAATGAACGAAATCTTTCGTGAATGATAGTGTCGTTCACGAACGGAAAAAAACGAACAATTTAAATCGTTCTTACGAACTGTAAAAACTATCGTTTTTTACTGAACGAGAGATTTTTTCTAACAAACATTTTAACTTTTTTTTAACTGAATGAATGATTTTACTAAACGATCATTCATTGAAAAAACGTACGATATTTTAGAGAATGAACGAAATAAATTTTTTTTGAACGATTGAAAAATAAACGATCGAAATGGGTTGTTTACGAACGATGAACAATTTAAAAAAGGCCGAACGCGCACATCTCTAATGACAGGTAACTGTGAAGGAAGATCTCTACTAGAAGAATTTATTAAAGTAAAACCTGAGAATGCCAAGGCTCTGCTGGCTAGTGAAATAGATACTAACGGTAAAGAACTGAATGATAAAGATTATCTATACGTTTACCAACTTCGGTTGTTTCTGAGAAATCCTCGGGATCCCGAAGACGGGGAGGAAATGGCGGTCATTTCAAAATTTGGAGAATATAATCAGAAAAAGTTATTAAACCTGCCTGGACCGGAGCTATACCTCCATCTAAAATGGAGTATGATAAAGCAATGGTATTTTCTAAACGCAATCCTATATTTTGTTTTCCTTATATCGTTGACATTACTGGTGTACTGGACTTCATACTACAAAAACCATCCCAGATCCCAGAGTGAACCAACCAACCAGACTAGCTGTAGTCTGGATAATCTTAAATGGTATTCTATAGATTTTGAAAAAAGATATTTGAACAGGATCTGGATTCTACTTCACGTATTTACACTCATGTCTACTAGTGTGGTACTGGTCCGGGAAATGATGCAGCTGTGGAGTAAGAAATCTAGATATTTCCGGTCAAAAGAAAACCTCCTGGAATGTTCTATCCTCCTGTCCTCACTACTATATCTATTATGCATTGCATTGACAGGAAAAGTAGTGTGTGAATCTGAACAGGCAGCTGGGGCAATTGCCTTGTTTTTGGCTTGGTTTGAAATGTCACTTATGATTGGAAGATTACCAAGTGTTGGAATATATATTTACATGTCTGTTAATGTTATCAAACAGCTTCTAAAGTTCTTCTCCGTCTACTTTACTATACTCATGGCATTTGCATGTTCTTTTAGCATCATTCTGCCCAAGTCACCGACCTTTGAGAACCTGATAACATCTTTTTTAAAAGTGATTGTAATGATGATTGGAGAGTATGATTTCGAAGATAACTTTAAGATGGATAAGGTGAATAATCAAGGGCATGAAAATGCAAGTAAACCTGAAGTCTTGCGAAACATAATAACCCAAGTTCTATTCATATCTCTTGTATCAATGGTGTCTATTACAATTGCCAATTTGATTATTGGTTTGACTGTGCAAAATATTGCAGATTTGCAACGTAATGCAGGAACTTATAAACTTTGCAAAACATTGGACCAGATTAAAGAAACTGAAGATATTTTTATCAAAAACAGTATTTTCAAATGGTTCAATCAGAGAATGGCATTTTCTAAACATGTTAACAAGCACATGCGTCTTTTATCATATTTTAAACACTTGCTTCGAGGCAATCAGATAAATACAGACAATGTCCAAATATGCATTAACCCACAAGAATGTACAATTGAAGAAAATGCATTCTCAAGCAACACCTTCAAGACATATCTTTATGATTCTTCAAAGCTGAGAATAGAAAAATATCTAAATGCAGATGTCCCAGAATGGGTGATAACCAACACCAAAAAAGGTATTTTAGGAATTATTGAAGCTGCAGATATTATTGCTAGAAAAGCAATTGACTATAAACTAAATACTAAGAGGGTTGGCATCGAAAATACTTGACTACATGCAGTGATAACCAGAAAACTCGGTAATAAAAAGTAGACTTTAAACTCAAGTTATGACTTGAAATAGTCAAATGAACATGAGACAAAACAATTTTGTAATGTAAACAGACCCAGTTTACTCAATGGGTGATTAACTTTTTAGCAATGCTTTGAAACAACATCTAATGCGGTTTAGTATTGATTTAATGTCGTCTTCCTATTCTACAGTTTTCTGGTTATTACTGTATATTGTTTTAGTTCCATGATTTTATTTTTTGTCAGCAAATATGTTTCTAGCAACTACGTTTATAGCAATAATATCTTCCCGAAAGGAATTGAGTATTTGTCACAAACTCAAATTACATGATTTCTATATTTTCGCAACCTGTTGGTGTAAACTTAGATTACTTGATCTAACAAAATTCATAGTTTAAAATAATTAAGGTCTACCACATATATAGATTAGAATATATTAGATTTTGTGGCAAAAACTAATTTCCTCTGTATTTTAAAAACTATTCTTACATGCTTTGGGATGAAATCATGTAATTTTCATCAATACTCTTTCACTTCAAAATTCTTCTTTTTTTCGATATTTTTCAATATTTTACAATATTTTTTTTTGAATATATTTCAATATTTCTCAATATTTCTCAATATTTCTCAATATTTTTCAATATTTCTCAATATTTTTCAATATTTCTCAATAGTTTTCAATATTGCCTAATATTTTTCAATATTGCTCAATATTTTTCAATATCTTTTAATATTTTACAATATTTTTCAATTATTTTCAATTCGTTTCAATATTTTTCCATATTTTTAATATTCCAGCATTGGAGGAAAAGCAGAAGATTCTAGAAGAGCTTGATATATTGTACAGAAACTTTACTAACTCTACTAGTGTTGCATACAACTTCAGCTATACACAGGAAACACAAAGGTAAAATATTTATAAGAATACAGTGAGACACATAAAACTGTGGAAAAGGAAGACGTCATTTTAGTCATTTTTTTCGTGTACACTGCACAATTGCTGAGTTTCGTAAATTATTTAAAATTATAGTTTGAATCTAACAGTTCTAAATAGTTTGGCCAGTACCTTGATAGCTAAATGTGGATACTGCACACTTTCGTTTTCATGGAACTAATAAAATCATAATTGAATATGAAGACGACATTTTAGAAAATTAAGGTTGTTATGTTGTCATAAATTAAATATTTGTACTCGTACTTTGATATTCAAATAATTCTGTGTATACTTTGAAGTAATCCTCCATGGAAAGATGGTAATGCCCGATTTACAACGGTACCCTTGAAATCATTACCTGAGCTGAAAACTTTAGAATGGTGGATATCAGGATTAATGCTTAATCCACTCTTTTTCTTAATCTCCAGATTAAATATTGCTTGTTCTCCTTTCATTTTTAATCTCCAGATTAATTTTCCGATCAGGATTAAGGATATCCCATTCTAAAGTTTTCAGCTCTGGTCAATTATAAATTAGATATCCATGTTTTGTTTCTTTTACCTGTTTATTTTCATTTGCGGTTTTTCTGCATAAGTGACTTGCGCATTTCTTGCCTGTTGGAAGCAATGGAGAAATTCACATAAAAAATAACACTTTTTGAGTTGGTATCTTTCACACTTTTGATCAGAAGAGGTTTCAAGGGGACCATTGCCATCTTTGCATGGAGGATCGCATGAAATTTTGCTTACAGTCCCTTTAAGTATTAAAATTATTAGATTATCTAATGCTCCGGTCCCCTATGAGTGCCTAATGAGCGGGGATACTATTGGTTGTGGTGAGAAGGAAGAACTGCTCCTGGAGCTGGATAGATTAGATCAAGCGTCAAACCAACTCCGGAGAAGACTCTCCTCCCTAGTCCTGAATACTGAATCAAATGCATAGTAAAATAATAATTGTAAAATTTCTAGTGATATTAATGCAAATATTTTGTTTCATTCATTTATCAACAAAATACATAATAGTTGACCTTTATTGTTTGTTTATATAATAGTTGACCTTTATTGTTTGTTTATATAATAGTTGACCTTTATTGTTTGTTTATATGATATTTGACCTTTATTGTTTGTTTATGTAATAGTTGACCTTTATTGTTTGTTTATATAATAGTTGACCTTTATTGTTTGTTTATATAATAATTGACCTTTATTGTTTGTTTATGTAATAGTTGACCTTTATTGTTTGTTTGAATAATAGTTGACCTTTATTGTTTGTTTATATAATAATTGACCTTTATTGTTTGTTTATATAATAGTTGACCTTTATTGTTTGTTTTTTGTAATTTTTTTACATTACTCTTTTGGAATTTTATTTTTAAAATACTTTCTTGGGGATAACTGTCAACTGAACATAATATTGAGATCAGTGCTTTATCAGAGTGCCCGCAGTGACTATCAACATCAAGTGTTCGGGATTATGGGTTTCCAGCTCTTAGCACATTTTTTGTTAGGCAAAGTCTAGAAATTCAGCGGCTCAAATCAATAACCAGTAGACACTAGACAAACTGTAAAAATGATGGATGGGCGTTTGTCTAATATCTGCAAATGACAGCAATTTAGCTCTGAAATTCTGCAGCTAAGATTTAGTCATCGACGTAAAGATCTCTGTTGCAAAACCTAGAAATTCTTGAACTAACCTCAGATTCAAGACAGAAGTGTCGATCTCATGGTGTCTCTTAAAGCATGATGAGAGTTGTATAATAATATTTAAAGTTTTAAATTCAATGATATGTTTCCCCTGAGTAGGTGATGCCAAACGAGCCATAGTCTAGACACAATTTTCTTTCTTTTTTTACATTGAAAAAATAACTTAATATTTTAAACAATTAATTCTGTGAGATATAAAGGTTTGAGACAAAAGGTTCCAAAGGTATAGGAATAAAAAATGAGCGTTTAGATGCTTTCATACATTTTGATTGCATTTTTGATATAGAAGTAGAAAATCTTTAAAAGTATAAATGTGTAAAATGGAGTCTAGTACGTCATGTGGGTTATGTCAATATCTGTATAATAAAACAAGACATGTTGTCTAAAGCCGGCCAAACGCCAGGACCGATTGGGCTGAAATTTTTTTTGGACACTCATGTTTATAGGCTTAAAAAAATTTGAATTTTTTTTTCTAAATATTTTTTTTATAAAATATTTTTTTCCACGGGCAACGCCGGGCCCTTCAGCTAGTATTTTATAAAGCTGTGACTTTCGCGAAAAATTCAACCCATTAAACATATTTATTTTGCCTTTTTTCCTAAATACTATTTTGTCGGCATGTATATTTTAAATACAAAAGTATAGAATAAACAAATCTGTAAACTTAATGATTGTCGATTTATAGACCAAAACACGTTTGATTTCAAATATAAGAAACCAAATGCTGCTCACTCTGTTAATCTATTAAACTTTGAAAATTTGTTCCAGCATAGTTTTCATTTTCATAGATTAAAATATCAAATCTCTACGATTAAAAAATATAAGGATTAGAAAATAAGAGTTTGAGAAAAGTGTTCAGAGTCCAAAGGAATTGAGTCTTTGTAACAAACTCTGATTTTCTAATACCTATATTTTTTCCACTTTATGGTGTAAACCTTTGATATTTCAAACTTGGATTTTTTCATCTAACAGAATTCATAGTTTGAAATATCTGAGGTCTACGGCATTTGATTACAAAGATATAGAGATTAGAAAATCATAGTTTGTGACAAAGACTCAATTCCTTTAATGAATTTGAACCGCGTCTCAAATCCTCCGAAACCCAGTTTCAATTGAGCGCCGGCTTAAATCTTGGAACATTGAATATAATTTTAAGGGAAACCAACCATATTTGAGCCGCGGCTCAAATTCTTTAAATTCGGCGTCTGTTCCTTTACTTTCAGAGCATTGAAAAATTAGCAATATAGATATATGTTTAAATTTTATTTCCTTTCGTAATATTGTAAAAATTTGACAACGGAAATTTTCAAAAATATTTATTTATCTCAATGCTTGAATCTGAACCCCCAGTCCATATCAGATTAAAGAGCTTTATATAAAATACAAACTAGAATTAGATACAGGGTATCCTTCGAAACATAACAGATGATGCATGGGTTTGAATGTGTTCTTCCATAAACTGTATTAGATATTAAAGTCTTTTTGCAGTTTCTTTCGTTCACAAAACCTTTTACTTAAATACATTTTACTTAAAAATCAATTTCACTGTGATTAACTGCCATATAGATATATTCTTTTATTCTCTTAAATATTAAACAACTTAACAAGTTATGGAAGAAGACATTTTAAACTATTCACCAAAATTGTCATGTTTCGTGGAACACCTTGTATATATATAAAATAACTATTTTTGAGACAGAACATTGAGATCTTTCTACTTTAACAGTTTCAAGTCGTCTTTACATTCTTATTCTTTGTGGGTAACCCTGTAAAAAACAGTCAGTGGAATTTGTATGGGTATGATTTTTGCCATACACTACAACCGGCGCCGGCCAATTATGGTAAAATAAAAAATGCAACCGCCCCCCCCCTTCCTTCCTCTCCTTTGCTATGTAAGAGGTAACCAGCTGGTTTGGTAACATTTCTTCTACCTTGAATTCAATTTTTTCATGGCTTATTAGGCAAAGAAAAAAGTTAACGGTTCCTGAGAATAATAAATATTAAGTAAACAGATGTTTTAAATTCTGTAAAGTTATCTGTGAAGTTTCAAGGATTTGGCGTCTTTCCTGGGGAACGATCGCGCTCTCACGGGAAGGAACGGAAAAGAACGGAACCGAATGAATGATTTAAAAAAGTAAAATCAGGCCCAGTTCAAGGATTGGGTGTCTTTCCCGGGGAATGATCAGTTCTTTCACGGGAACAAACGGGAAAGAACGGAACCAAATAAATGATTAAAGAAAGTACTGTTAGATCTTGCTCAAGGACTGGGCATCTTTCCCGGGTAACGATCGTTCTTTCACGGGAACGAATCGAAAAGAACGGAACGGAACGAATGATTTTAAAGAAGTAGGAAAAAAATTAAACAATTAAACATAAGGCAAAGATGACTTTGTCACATTTTTGTAAGGTTTTGAGATATGATTGTGTTTCTAAGAAATATAATTTATTTGTCTGATTTAATTTACAGCTTTTAAATCAGAATTAATGTGACAGAAGGAAGTGAAAGAGAAATTTTTAAAATAATAAAAATTTGACTAGTTATGCAGATTTGTTTTTATTTTTGCTGAAACACACTTTTAAACCCTGAAAATTTTATTTAGTTAAAAAGTAATCCTTCTTGTAAAGAATATATATAATTTTACCAAATTTTAAATTCAAAATTTAAGTTTTAAAGACTCCTAGCGCACCTATCCTAATAATTTTTATCAGGTTTGTTTTAAAAAGTTTGTGTAAACTTGACAAAGGCCACGAAAGATAAGCTTATAGCAATAAAATGATTTAACACAATCACTGGCAACCGTATACATTTAAATTTCTGAGCCGGGTCAACCTTTCCGGTCCCAGTTTGTACTGTACCTAGCTCGATGGACAGGACTAGCCGTTGCAACAAGGTTGACGAGGTCAGACTTTATGCTTCATATAGGTTGAATTTACTTTTACCAAAGGGGATAGAGTGCGTGCGATTTTAATTTGATTAAAACTCTCTTACAGCTTAGAAAAGTTTAAAGCTAGAGATTACTGTATTGGCCAAAGCTAGGCATAATCAGTGAATAGTAATGACTCTGTGAGATAACAGAAATTGTTAAGATTTGAAAATGAGCAGTATTAATAAATATTGTGAAATGGAAGGATTAGTGGAAAAAACTGGTTTAGGTGGCTTAGTTCAAGTCATTTCACTGAAATCTCTTAATTCACTAGAAAGGTATTGATTCCAATAAATAATTTACAACGACTTCAAGACGGCAAGATTTTTTCTGAATTTTTTTTTGAAAAACGTGCTTTTGTAAAATTTTATTATTGTTTTTGTTTTTATAATATTTTTTTTTATAAATAGTGAAAACGAAATTCTACGCTACCCAGACGGAAGAGGTAAATAGAAAATAATAAAAATATTTGAATTAAGAAATAAAAAAGTTGTTTTTATTCTTGTATTCCAGAAGAAAATTACACAATCCAAATATCTAATGAAAAACATGATCCTCTTATGGACCAAAATTTAATTTTTGAGAACACTCCCTTAAATTGAAAGGCCCCTTGAAATTACATCTACATGTGACACTTGTTTTTATCCAGTTCTTGACTGATTTTGCTAAAATGTAAACTTTAGATCTGTAACTTTATGAGGTATTTAAATTTTTTAGAACACCGACCTTTCGACCATCCTGGTCCCTGTTTATGCATTAAAAATCTGTGAAAGGTTAATTTGAGTTTTAAAAAAGTTAATTCAACAATTCCAATAAAATGTCTTATTCCTATGGTAGAGGATCGAAAGATAATAGAGATGAACCTGGATTTCCCCCATGTATTTAGTACAGTAGGGGAAACATCTAGAAGGTTCGGTAGAAGAGAGGGAATTATGGATTGTGAAGCTGATGGGGGAAAGAAAGGTAACCTCTCAAGATTCAAGAAACCTTCACTTTCGAACACATTTTTTACTGAAAGAACTGTTTGCTAGTATTAAAAGGGGGGTATATTTTAAGTCTAAAATTATCCGTAAAACTAGCTTGAGAACCCAGCGTTGCCCTGCAGTGTACTCACAGTTACTCCCGCTGTTTACCCGCATTTGGTCGATTTTACCAGGAAACTAAACTTTCACTTTAAAAGTCGACCCACTCAACTAAGAATGTCAATGCTAAGGAACATTCCCGTGGTTCTTTCGAGTTCCCCAATCAAAATTTGAGGCCAGTTGGTCAAGGGGGTTCCTGAGTTATGATCAGACAGACAAAAAAATGTATTATAATAAATATTGAGTAAAATCACAGCAATTCTACAGCGTAGACTAAGTTAATTTTACAGTTATTTGCTTTATGGCATCATCAAACATATCTAAAATTGTCTAAATTTCGTTTTCCACAGTTGATTGGATCTCACTGTAATTCAACAATTAATCTGTTTTTATCAGTTTGCTCTGGAATTCATTTTCTAATACTAAACTCTATGAGTCATTTTCTTTAACATATGAAGGCAGGATTATAATATTACTTTATATCCCTAGTTGAAGGCAGAATTATAATATTACTTTATATCCCTAGATGAAGGCAGGAGTATAATATTACTTTATATCCCTAGATGAAGGCAGAATTATAATATTACTTTATATCCCTAGATGAAGACAGTAGTATAATATTGCTTTATATCTCTAGATGAAGACAGGATTATAATATTACTTTATATCCCTAGATGAAGACAGGAGTATAATATTGCTTTATATCTCTAGATGAAGACAGGAGAATAATATTACTTATATACTTAGATGAAGGCAGGAGTATAGTATTGCTTTATATCCCTAGATGAAGGCAGGAGTATAATATTACTTTATATCTCTAGATGAAGACAGGAGTATAATAATACTTTATATCCCTAGATGAAGACAGAAGTATAATATTACTTATATACTTAGATGAAGGCAGGAGTATAGTATTGCTTTATATCCCTAGATGAAGGCAGGAGTATAATATTACTTTATATCTCTAGATGAAGACAGGAGTATAATAATACTTTATATCCCTAGATGAAGACAGAAGTATAATATTGCTTTATATCTCTAGATTAAGACAGGAGTATAATATTACTTAATATCCCTAGATGAAGGCAGGAGTATAATATTACTTTATATCTTTAGATGAAGACAGGAGTATAATATTACTTTATATCCCTGGATGAAGACAGGAGTATAATATTGCTTTATATCTCTAGATGAAGACAAGAGTATAATATTACTTTATATCCTTAGATGAAGGCAGGAGTATAATATTACTTTATATCTCTAGATGAAGACAGGAGTATAATGTTACTTTATATCCCTTGATGAAGGCAGTATTATAATATTAGTTTATATCTCTAGATGAAGGCAGGAGTATAATATTGCTTTATATCTCTAGATGAAGACAGGAGTATAATATTACTTTTTATCCCTGGATAAAGGCAGGAGTATAATATTACTTAATATCCCTGGATGAAGGCAGGAGTATAATATTACTTTATATCCCTAGATGAAGGCAGGAGTATAATATTGCTTTATATCCCTGGATGAAGGCAGGAGTATAATATTACTTTATATCCCATGGATGAAGGCAGGAGTATAATATTGCTTTATGTCCCTGGATGAAGGCAGGAGTATAATATTACTTTATATCTCTAGATGAAGGTAGAAATATACTAATGAATGGGAGTGGGCCTATAGAGAACCTGATCAAGGCTGTGCTCAACGATGATTCTCAAATGATCAGGAAAATGCATTTTTAAATGAAAGTAATTTACCACAAACTCAAAATTTACAATCCCTATATTTTTGCAACCTGACATTTCATATTTTAAACTTTAATTATTATTATTTAACATAATTCATAGTTTGAAAAAGGAGACGACATTTAATTGCAAATTATAGGGATTATAAAATCAGAGTTTGTGACAAAGACTCAATTCCTTTCGCCCTATGCGTAATATAGCTTTCAATTAAAGCATGGCATAATCAAAACATCCAGAGGGGGTGCTAGATTAAATTTGGAACAAAAAAATCCAGATTTCGGAACCAAAAGATGCGTCGCCGGCAAAAAGTTTTTTTGACTTTCCTGTTTTTCCAATGCAAGAAAAGATCAACTTGACCAAAAATCAAGAAATGTGTAATAGCTTTGTCTTTATTTAAGCTTTGCAGTTTGCACCTACAAAACATATTTCTATGCAGACTAAAAAACTGTTGTAGACCTTTAATAATTCAAACTAAACATTATGTTAGATAAAGAAGTCTTAAGTTTAAAATATCAAAGCTTCCCACCGTCAGGTTGTAAAGATATAAGGATTGAGTTTGAGGCAAGAACTCAATTCGTTATGAATGCATCTGGTATAGAAAAACACTGCATGTAAAACAGGATTTGTTATCCAAGTTTCTTCTCAAGTTTAAGAAAAAAGCATGCCTGAGTAGCCTGGATTCCAAGGTAAATACTTTTACACACATTTATTACAACTTTTCAAAGTTTGAAATTATTTTTTAACTTATTCATTTAGTCACATTAGGATTAAAGGGTTGGCCAACGTAATTTGAAGTGAACATAGAGTAATAAAACGAAGAGGTAAAGCTTAGCTCAGATTTACACAACCGACCTCCCTATTAATTAATTAATAGAGTGGTCGGTTGTATACATCACGATATGTTTACGTATCTAACGCTGTACACTTGTATATAGAGCGATCGTATTTCTAAGGGGTTTTATGTAGATATTTGAATATTAGTATTGATAATTAGACAGACACTTAATATGGATTGTAAACACAGGATTGTTTACTGCAGTACATTCAAGTTCAGTTGTTTGTTTATTTTAATACAAGTATGACTAAACATTCCATCGTGAAAATGTGCAAAAACAATTTTTATTGTAAAACTGTGGGTTTTTTCGAAATACCAAAAAATTGTGCATGGCAAGACCTTGTAAGGTTGGGAGGTTGTACATGGATCTCATAAGTATCACATCGATATTATTGGTCATGTGGCCGCTGCGACCAACCCCCTTAGCCTGTCCTAGCCATAGCGCTCGGCCCCCTAACCTGTTCTAGCCGCAGCGCTCGGCCCAGACAATTTAGGGGGCCTAACCTAACCCTAAATATACACTAATTTTGTTGAACATTGTTAAAATTGAAAAAATGTCCTGGCCGCAGCATTCGGCCCAGAAATTGTCTTAACCTAACTTAACCCTAAAATAATAAAAAATAAATAATAATAATTTTGCTGAAAAATAATGTTCAGAAATTCGTTTCATTGCGAATATTGCAGCTTTGTAGGCAGAAGAATGAAAAAAAAACATTCGTCAAAAATCTCATAGGTTGGTTTTATTTAAAATAAAAAATAAAATTATATCTTTGAATCTTTCTTTAATTACTGTGTGTTTATGACAATACCACAATACCCACAAAGGACAAGACAATATTTAAGACAGAAACTAAATTCAACCATTAGATTGTTGTTTAGAGAATAGGTATAGGGTTTAAATGCATGTTCATAAACAAATTTTTTAAGGCAGCTCAGTAAAATTAAATTAGATCAATAACTTTTCTAGTGCTAGGGAAGGTCGAAAAAAATGCAAAAAAAGGTCGAAAAAATGTAAAAAATATTCTTTTGTTTAAAACAAATATCAAAGTGTGACACATGTTTCTACACCCATTTTTCAAGGGCTTTTTAAAAATATAGTTTTCAGATCTGTAGCTTTAGTCATAAAAAGGTTATGGGCTATTTAAGATTTGCACCCTACCATATAAATAAAAAAATTTAAAAAACAAATCCTATTAAATTCTATTTATGAAAAGTAAAAAAATTAGTCAAAAAACTAGAGGGGGGAAGCCGAATGCCCCCCCCCCCCGCCTTTTTAGGGTTAAGAGCTCCAGGTCGTCATCGTTGTTTCATCTTTTGTGGGTAACCCTGCATACAATGTCATCTTTATGATAAAGAGTTGAAGAGAAGAAACAATGAAAATTGTTTGAAATAAGTATGTTTTAAGTTAAATTCGTGCCCTAGAAACTTAATATTTTTTACTGAACTTTTTGCTAATAAATTGAAAACCTACAAATTTGAAAATTGTCAAATGTTTGCAGTCAACATCATCGAATTCTCTTTAAATAAAGAAAGAAAATCTAAAAACTGGTTAATTCCATCAAAACCCTCTTAGAAATATGATCAGTGATCGTGATCTTCGATCACACTCTATACAAGTGTACAGTGTTAGATACGTAAACATATCGTGATGTACACAACTGACCATTCTATTAATTAATTAATAGGGAGGTCTGTGGTGTACATCTGAGCTAAGCTTTACCTCTTCGTTTTATTACTCTATGGAAGTGAACCTTAAGCTTGACATGCATGGTTTACAATAATACTTACCCTTTATCCTTTAATCCTGTATCCCTGATGCGGTTTATGCAGGGGGTGACAATGTGTGCTTGACTAGATATAGATTGAGTTTTTCAGGTCAACAAAATTTTTCGCTGCGCCGCGCCCCTTACTTATTTTCGCAGGTGTATTTACGAGGGGGCTATTAGGGCTAAGCCCCCCCCTGGACCAGTGAAATCTATTGATTTCAGGGGGTTTTCATGCCCCAAACCGCTACAATTCAGAACTATTGAGTACCTATAGGTCACCATATTGACGTATTCAATAAACCTTTGAATGGAGCCGGAGCCCAAAACTTAAGTCAGGGTATCGTTATAAAAACCAGTTTTGAAACCCGAGTTTCACGAATGGGGATATGTGTTTTGTAGATATCAATATTTTTGTTATGAAATATTATATTATTTAGTGTCTTCATACTCTCCTTTTTTCGAATCTCTTAAATTAAAATTTACTTAAATGTTAAGACCCCGAAATGGAAACTCGGGAGTTTCATTCAACGATACTCTTTTAAATTTCGGGCTCGGGGATACACTGCACTATTTTTGTTTATTAAAATTTAGTTCAGTTCAAAACTTCTAACTTTACACAATAAAAATACCTTGTTTTAACTAGAACAAACATTTGATTTGTGGTCTAAATAAACATACCCCGCGTCGGCGCTTACACTACATGATTAAACTGTACTGCGTGACCTCTTGCATAGAATCAGCGGAGATGCAGTGGAGAGTTCAATTCCTTGCATACACAATATAAATCTTCAATCTATGTACTGTTTTATATAGGGGATAACATATTGTATATTTAGATCGACAAGAGATTTGTGGAGTATGAAATATTTGTTGATATTCTGCAGTTCTCGGTTCTTATGAAGAAACCTCAGGCTCTGGGTGAAATGCTTCATTTTGTGAAAGGGTAAATAGATTTTAGTCTTCATATTTTTACTGCATTTTTTTGTACATGTTGTATGAAAAGCATTTATCTTTAGAGATGAAATGTTGCAGAGAAAAATAAGGTTGAACTGTGATGTAGAAAATGTTGTTCTGTCAGACTTTGACTATGAGGTATACTGTTTACATAAATTTTACTTATTTAAAAAGGGACATTATTAAAAAAATATTGAATTTACATTCTTTATATGTGAATACCAGTTTGTTAAGGTCTCCACATTCATAATTTGCTGTTTTAGGATGTTCAATTGGAAAAACAGAATATATTTCATCTTGCTGCAGTTGTTAGTTCAGAGTGTTTAAAGATTCTTCTGAAGAAATGCACTAATTCAGACATTTTGATGTCAAGAGATGTTAGAGAAAGAACACCATTCCATATTGCAGCTGGAAACTCAAGCAAAGCTTGTTTCGAGATGCTTTTTAATGCAGTAGAGGAGAAGGATGACATTTTTCTACAGGACTGTAACGAATATTCACCTCTTCATCTTGCAACAAAGTTTGGTAATTGAGTTGAATTTTCAAATAAATGGCAGAAAAGAAGAAGTCAGTCAGAATCTCAATATATCTTTTTTCAGGTGTCCTTGAAACACTGTTTTTTATTCTCACCAATATATCCAATTGTCAACAGCTGCAAATTATCAACACGCAGAACAAAAAAGGAAAAACGCCATTGTTTTATGCCAAGGATTCTAAAAGCATTTACTTGTTGCTCTCATATGGTGCAGATCCCACCATAGGCAGGTGTGAAGGAAGATCATTGTTGGAGGAATACATTCGTGTGAAACCTGAAAATGCCAGAGCTCTACTAAACTATGATGTTGACACAAATGGCAAAGAAATTAGTGATTCAAAATTTCTTTTTACTTATGATCTTCGACTGTTTCTTGCCAAGGCATTGGGTAAAGATGAGCATAAGGGAGAAATGGAAATTATTTCAAAATTTGGCGAATACCGCCAAAAGAATATGCTAAATTTGCCAAGTCCTGAACTGTTTCTCCAGTTGAAATGGCAGATGATAAAGAAATTTTACTTTCTCAATTGGATCCTATATGTCACATACCTATTATCCCTGACAGCTACTGTTAGTTGGACGTCATATGACAAAAACCATCAAACCAAGGACAATAGTAGCTTTCCAGATCAGAACAGCACTACTTGTAATATTACAACGCTGAGTTGGTATTCAGACTCTATCAACAATGGATGGAAGATTCTTCATGTTTTTACATTTGTGTTCACTTGTATAATTCTTTTTAGAGAAGGAATGCAGCTCTTGTCTAGAAAGTTCAAGTATCTTAAATCAAAAGAAAATATTCTTGAGTTATTTTCGTTGATTTTTGCTTTCACCTACCTAATATTGATCTCGTTGACAGGAAAGTTAATTTGTGAATGGGAGCAAGCAGCAGGATCAATTGCACTCTTTCTTGCTTGGCTTGAAATGTCACTTATGATTGGAAGATTACCGAGTGTTGGAATATATATTTACATGTCAGTTAATGTTATCAAACAGCTGTTAAAGTTTTTTTCTGTGTACTTCACCATACTGATGGCATTTGCCTGTGCTTTTAATGTGATATTGCCTAAGTCACCAACCTTTGAAAACCTGCTAACATCATTCCTCAAAGTAATTGTAATGATGATTGGAGAGTACGATTTTGAGAGTAACTTCACTATGGATAACATTAATCAGCAAGGAAATAGACCTATGGATGCTGCCTACATTAGGCATGACTACATTAGGAATGTTATTACCCAGTTATTATTTATATCTTTAGTCTCTGTTGTTTCAATAACTATTGCCAATTTGATTATTGGTTTGACTGTACAGAATATTGCGGAACTACAACGGAATGCTGGAACATATAAGCTCAGTAAAACCATAGACCAGATAAAGGAGACTGAAGAGGTTTTCATAAAAAACCGCAGATTCATGTGGCTCTTTCAATTCATACCAGCAATCAATAAGCATATGGATCTTATTCCATACTTGAACAGTTTGGTCAAACATACCCGAGCAACCAGCAAAAATAAATCATTTTTCATTTGTGTCAAACCAAAGGATCAAAGTCCTGGATCAGGAACAGCAGTGTCTAGCATGTATTTCAAGGTTTACATGTATGATACTGAAAAAAGCAAACCTGACAAGTGGTTACAGACTTCAATTCCAGAATGGGTTCTTGCTAATTCAAAAAAAGGTAAAACTAAATAAATCTTTTTATTGTTCTATTTCTTAATGTAAATCTCTCTGACACCATGATCTATGATGGTAAAACATTACAAATGAATTTATCAGTTGGACTGAAAAAAAAGTATTTAGATTTAAACAATTTGAAAAACTATTGATTTAGCATTGGAGGAGAAGTGGAGAGTTCTGCGTGAACTTGATACAGCATATGAATGCTTTGCAAAGACTTCTAGTATGACTTACAATTTTAGTTATGCTGCAGAAAATCAGAGGTAGGATTAAGTAAAAACATGTCTAACTTTAACCTTGGCTGATAACTGAGCTGAGATTTAAAAGCTGAAACCTGAGTACAATCAGCATCTATTTATCTATATTAGAATTTGTTTATGCCCAAGAAAAGCTCAAACCAGGACTCATGATTGATCTAGACTTGAATTTAGGAAAAACCAATTGAGTTGGTTTTTTAACTCTTAGAGACTTGAGTTTTTGAAATTTACGCCTTTAAATCTAGACATTGTCAAAGCTGATTGTCTGATTATGCAGAGAAAGTTTTCTTAGAAGTCCTCATTGGTTGAAAGAGAACCATCAGAAGCCAACCCGACTCTGGTTTTTTGTAAGCTTGAGTGTTTGTAAAGGCAGGGTTTTACTTGGGTTTCAGCTTTTTAAATCTCAGCTCTGGATTCTGTAATAATTTTGCATGTCTGATAACCAATTTCTATTAAGAACAACATCTGTTTCTTCTCTCCCTCGAGAGTTATCAATGCTCAATGAAGTTCCAGTCCAATATGATACTGATGCCATAGCAGAAGAAATAGAAAAACTGGAGAACAGAGCAGCAGAACTTAGAGGACTTCTGCTTTATAAATTCTAGAAAAGCAATAGAATAGATTTGTAAATTCTTTGGACATTTTCTGTTTGATGCCCACCTCTCCCTCCTCAAATGCTTTGCACTCTCATTTTGAAACTATCACCTTGAAATTTATAAACTTTTAAGGAATTCTATTTTATGCAAAGAGTAGGGTACAAAGTGGTGACAGTGTAAAAAAAAAAATCTAAAATAGCCCATTACTTTTTGTGGTAAAAGCTACAGATCTAAAACTATATTTTTGAAAAGAGCTTTTGAAAAATTGATGCAGAAACATGTATTACATCTTGATATTTGTCAAAGACAAAAACAAGATATTTTTTGCATTTTTCCGATCTTTTTTTCAAACCTCTCCAGCATCCAAACTATTAAAGTTGGCGGTCTAATTTTGTTTTTAAACCTTGTTTTGTTTCAATGGGGTAGTAATTTTCCTTTTCTACAATCTTCCATGATGTTTCACTGCCTATGTAAATGTGATATTATTAGAAACCTAAATATAAGTTAACATTTAAAATATATTTAGAAACCTTCTTATATTTTCTATGTTGAGGCTACAGCTATTTATAAAGAATAGTCATTGAGAAAACAATATTTATTTTATATAAAAATTGGTCAAAAAATAAATGACAAGAACAAAATATTAAAAACCTTATTTTCTTTGTAAGTAAGTAAGTATGTTGATAAGAGAACTGGAAGTAAGTAGATCTGAGAAGTGGAGTGCTAACGAAGACTTTTTTATTGAGAGTCTCCCATATTGTAAATAAATAATGGTCTACGATAAAAAGACACTATAATTATGATGATGATTTTTGCAGAGTCTTACAATGATATATCTTTCTTTGTCATGACTAAACTTTAAATTTTCCATTAACTAAATTAAGATTCCAACTTTCGGAATATTCTTATAATGTTATATTGTCATTATCTAAAGGAACTGTAGATGTAATTTCAAGTGGCTTCCCATTAGAACGGCATGTTTGAATTACAATGATACATTGAGAAAAGATGTTTGAAAGAAATTTTATAGAAACTTCATAATGCATTACACATTGATATTTTTCTAAATGAACTATTGCAACACAGTTAAAGCTAGATATCTTTTATGACCATTAAACACTTCATTTTCTTTTGAGGAAATCAGCAGAAGTTTAGGAAGTCAACTATTCTTTTATGTTTAAGTTTTTTTAAATTTTGACTGTTACTGTTGCTGTTACTGTTGCTGCTACTAGAATGCATGAATTATGGCTGTTCCAGTGCACACTGGAACACATAGTTCAGACTGGCCCAGCTGAGGGCACACACCTGTACTCAAAACTTGATTGGATAAGTACAAACAAAAAAGGGCTTTCTAAAACTGGTTTAGAGATGGTTCAAGGTTGGCATATTTGTTGACAAAGCATGCTTAAAAGCTGAGTTGAATATTTGAAATTGTCTTGTCTTTAGTTAAGATATTGAAAGAAAATTAATGAAATTAGGCCAGCAACTGTTTTAACAGTACATCCAATCAGATTTCTAGGTTACTTCTAGCATTTAACTAGGATTTGGTCTATCAAGAGAGGAACAGAAAACAGGTGGATTATCAGCTATTCAGAGGATACAACAGTCAGGGAATAAATTCACTGATCTATTTCAAAATTTTGTAAAAATTAGATTAAAAAATAAATGTAAAAAAATTAGGACCAATCTACAAATTACTGCAGATAATGGTGATTCATGATTCAAGATTTTTAAATCAAATAGATATAAAGGAAAGCTCCATAAATGACAGTAAAACTGAGATGATATCTTCGAATCTATTAATGTCATTGTGCATTTAGTTGGAAAGGTAGATAACTGATTTGACTGTACAATTTGGTGCATATGGTCTGAAGCACATATAGAAGAAAAAACATATGTTCTCTCTCTTTATGGTGAAATAACATCAATTGGTCAAATAACAGAGATTGGATTTGGGAAATAATTATTACTAAATTAATTATCTTTTTTTCTGAGTCTTAAGAAACACAAATGGCAAGATTGGTTCAAAATTGATTGAATGACTTTTAAGACTTTAGATTACATGATTGTTAAACAGGCGACGCTCCCGGTTGAGAGGAATAATGGCTTTCAGATGGAACAGTCTGAGATGGATAAAGGGTTCCAGTTAGAGCTCCAGTCTGATAAGAACCAAGGGAATAAGATGGAACTCCAGTCTGAGAGGAATCAAGGGAATCAGATGAAACTTCTGTTTGAGATGGATAAAGGCTTTCATACGAGGGTGGATTTTCCTCGACCAAATCTTTCTCTAGGGTAGTGTATCCCGGAGGTGGTTCATATATAGGTGTATTAATCTCATCAGGGTTACTGATAGTGAGGTTTGGTAAATATCCTGGTATGGGTTGAACAGCCAACCTATTCTCAGGGTTGAGCTCTGTACTGGGAAAGGTATCTGGAGTGTTGGGTGGAATGTAATGCAGACCACGACGATTTTCTAAATGATCACAGCTGAGTGTGGAGAGGGGTTCTCTAGGGAACAATCTTCTATCCCTTCTAAATAAAAAAAAATTAGGGATTGTGTTGACGTAATTTTAAATGACCCCCCATTTTAAGAATGTCATATCGGATTCATTACAGTACCCTATATATTCCTTTTTCTGATCAACATTGACGGAGCATTCTTTATTTTTCTGCTGAAAATTCAATGCTTGAATAAAATAATTTCTTTTTATCACGTCACGATTGTAATCAACTAAATTTGATACAACGTTTCCTGGGGTACTGACTTTCCAGCTAGAAGAATATGGATAGCTCTGTCAATCTTAGTAAGACAAAGATTGAGAATTAGACATGGCACACTTTTATGAAGTACACTTGAAATTAAGTAAACAGTCCCTTTAAAGTCTATTTTTGAAAAAAATATTAACGGTTGAGAACAAAAACGAACTTTTGTTTGTGTTTTTAAAAAACAGCAACTTTCGTTCTTTTTTTCTGCTAAAATTGCACGCAACTTGCCAAAAAAATTATTCCATGCATTTTTTTATTTCTTAATGTCGNTGCCGTAAATCCAATTTGATAATACGTTAACGAATATAAATTTTTAGACTACAACACTGTAAACACCCTTTCATGGTTTTACCATTAACGATTTTACAAACCGTTAACAAAAATTTATTTTCGCCTGGCGCCATTTCTGAACAAATAATGCCGTTACTTAAGCAAAAAACCGTGAATAAATTTGAGATCGTTAACTAACAATAACTTTATTTAAAAACCGAAAATATCTTTTTTTACGTTTGAAACTAACTATTAACGAAACGTCTAGAAAAGTTGACACGTGCCCACCACTACCTCTAATTACAGCTAAACGTTTAACCAGACCTGTCCACTGGCCCTAGTTCTGATTCTGCAGTTGAGTTGTAAGCTGGTAGTCTCCCAGGATTATCAATAAGAAGATTCATACTAAAATAAGAAGTTGAAACAAATATATATTTTAAATAATTTTAATGTAAAAATATATTTACCCCTGGTCCTTGATGGCAAGAATAAGAGATTTGATACACCTAGAATTAAAAAAAAATAAAATTAAAACATTAAAAATTACATTTGAACTCGATGGAAAAAATTGTACAAGGAATAAACTGTACAATAAGCAGTTATATAATAAACAAACTGTACAAGAACAAATTGTACAAGAACAAACTGTACAATGAACAAACTTTTCAATTAACAAGCTGTACAAGGAACAAACTCTACAATGAACAAACTCTACAATGAACAAACTGTACAATTAAAAAACTGTACAATTAGCAAACTATACAATGAACAAAATGTGCAATAAACATGCTTTACAATGAACTGGATGTACAATGAACAAATTGTACAATTAACAATCTGTACAATGATTAAACTGTACAATTAACAAACTGTACAATTAACAAACTGTACAATTAACAAACTGTACAATTAACAAACTGTACAATGATTAAACTGTACAATTAACAAACTGTACAATGTACAAACTGTACAATGAACAAACTGTACAATGAACAAACTGTACAATGAACAAACTGTACAATGAAAAAACTGTACAATGAAAAAACTGTACAATGAACAAACTGTACAATGAACAAACTGTACAATGAACAAACAAACTGTACAATGAACAAACTGTACAATGAACAAACTGTACAATGAACAAACTGTACAATGAACAAACTCTACAATGAGCAAACTGTACAATGAATAAGCTGTGCACATGAAGAGGCTCTATGATGAACTGGCTGTTCAGTGAACAAAGTGTACAATTAAAATGGAAAAACAATTATAAACTTTACAAGGAAAAGGCTCTACGATTAACAAACTGTACAATTAGTGGACTTTACAATTTACAAACTCTACAATGAATGGACTAAACAACAAACATACTGCACAATTAATTGACTTATCAATAAAAAACTCCACAAAGAATGAACTAAACGATTAACAAACTGTACAATGAATGGACTAAACAATAAACAAACTGTACAATGAATGGACTTAACAATAAACAAACTGTACAATGAATGGACTAAACGATTAACAAACTGTACAATGAATGGACTAAACGATTAATAAACTGTACAATGAATGGACTAAACAATAAACAAACTGTACAATGAATGGACTTAACAATTAACAAACTGTACAATGAATGGACTAAACGATTAACAAACTGTACAATGAATGGACTTAACAATGAACAAACTGTACAATGAATGGACTTAACAGTTAACAAACTGTACAAAGAATGGACTAAACAATAAACAAACTGTACAATTAATGGACTTAACAATTAACAAACTGTACAATAAATGGACTAGACGATTAACAAACTGTGCAATGAATGGACTTAACAATGAACAAACTGTACAATGAATGGACTTAACAATTAACAAACTGTACAATGAATGAACTAAGCAAAAAACAATGAACAGTCTCTAAAATAAACAAATTAAACAATGAACAAACTATAAAATATTTTCTGCGTCATCATCATTTTGTAAAACATTGTTTAAAAATTAATAGTAGAGTATAAGTATAGGTGACCCCTGCGTTTATAGAGTGGAATTTTCGATTCACAACGACACCCTTAAAGTTTTGTCTAATAAAGAATGCAAAAGATATCAATATTTTTCGGATTAGAATTGTTTCATTTTCATTTGTGGTTTCTCTAACAAGTAACTTGCGGGGTTATCATCTGCAAAAACAATGGAGGCAATTGTGAGAACTAGACACTATTTAAACTAGAAAAACAACAGCATCCACATAAAGGTTTCAAGGGTACCCATCTGAATCGGTTATATCTCTCTGTAAACAAGAACAGTCCCTTTAGATGAATATTTACCTGCAACAAGCCAGAACTAAACAGAAGACAACAATATTTTTCAGGCAATTATAATTTAACAAAAAAAAACTTTAGATTTTTTGTACATTATAATATAGTTGGTCCTCACATTTGTTCTATATTTCTTTTTCAAAGCAACCCAATGGAAATTGAGAAAACACTAAAATAATCATAGTTCTTTTATTTCAATATCTTTATAAATACAAATCAGTTACAAGTTGCAAAAATTATAATATTTTTAAATTAAAACAAAGATCAAAAACGACTTTCATTCTCAGTTTCCAGATTCTCGCTGTAGTCGTAGTATTAGTTTTTAGTTTTAGTTTTAGTTTTTTAAAATACTGCAAACAAAGATTAACGATTAAAAAGTTACATAACCTTATTGCTGTATTTTGTAAATAATTAAGGTACAGGGTGTCCCACGAAACATGACCGATGTTGAATAGTTTTGAATGTGTTATTTCAAATACTGTCTTTGATGTTAAAGACTTTTTGCAATTACTTCGTAAAAAAATCTTTTACTCAAATATTTTACGTCTAAACCAATTTCACTATATTTTTTTTATTTTTCTCTATTCTGTCAAACAACTTACAGTGAATCCCAGATATATTAATACATAGATCGTCATAAGTTTTTTGATAATTCTAAAGAAAATTTTTTATTTTTGAATCAAGGTAAATTAATAGCCCTGAAATATGAATGCAATTGATATATTAATATTAAACTTATTTTTCCGCGGCATTTGATCTTAAATATGTAATAAGACATTGTAAAAAACTCTTGCTATGTATTCTTATATCTGGGATTCACTGTAACATGTTATAGAAGACGACATCTAAAATTATTCACCATCTGTCAAGTTTCATTTATTAAATAATTTTCTTGTTTTAATTTGTTTCTCTCTTTACAAAATTACATACCCAAATATTTAGCGATATAAGCTAATAACATTTTATTGTAGTTTTGAGTAAACATCATGATGGGGGATGTGAGTAAACATTATGATGGAGGATGTGAGTAAACATTATGATGGGGGATGTGAGTAAACATTATGATGGGGGATGTGAGTAAAAAAAATAATAATAACATTAATTTTGCTATTTGATTTCTGTTAAAAGGATACAACAAATGTCAGAATAAACTTGAACAAATAAAAATAAAAGTCACCTGCTCCTCTCATCTCTATTCTACCATATTGTCTCTAGGTCTTGTTAAATAGTATTATTATTATTACTGTTATTATCCAGTGTCAAGGTTGTAAGATAATGGTATAAAGTGTACTAGTGGCAGCTGAACAGCTGATAGAATATATCCAACCTTTCTCAAGAGAAAGCTTCTCAGGTTTAAGCTCAATTACTCAAAATTATAATAAACACATGTTTTTGCATTGAATTTAAGAATATTTTCGTTCTTTTATTCGGTGATCTCTTGTTCTTAAATCCTCGTAGAAAAACATGAGATAAAGGAATAAAATTCTTTCCCAACAAGACGACATTTCTTACAGTTACACCAGAATTAAGAAATATTGTAAAAATATGAATTTTAAATGAATAAGCTACTTATTAAATAATTGAAATTTCAATATCATTCGTTTTTTTCGCAACTAATTCAAGACTGCAGAAATACATTTTCTGGACGGGGAAAATTCCGGGACTAAGGAATTTGTTTGTTTTTTTGGAATTTTTCTTTCTGGATTTTGTCTTTCTGGAGTTTGTCTCTCTGGAGTTTGTCTCTGGAGTTTGTCTCTCAGGAGTATGTCTCTCTGGAGTTTGTCTCTATGGAGTTTGTATATGTCTCTGGAGTTTTTTTTCTTTGGAGTTTGTCTCTATATGGTGTTTGTATATGTCTCCGGAGTTTGTCTCTCCAGAGTTTATCCCTCCAGAGTTTGTCTCTCTGGAGATTGTCTCTCCAGAGTTTGTCTCTCTGGAGTTTGTCTCTCCAGAGTTTGTCTCTCCAGAGTTTGTCTCTCCAGAGTTTGTCTCTCCAGAGTTTGTCTCTCTGGAGTTTGTCTCTCTGGAGTTAGTCTCTCCGGAGTTTGTCTCTCCGGAGTTGGTCTCTCTGGAGTTGGTCTCTATGGAGTTGGTCTTTCTGTAGTTAGTGTCTCCTGAGTTTGTCTCTCTGGAGCTGGTCTTTCTGGAGTTTGTCTCTATGGAGTTTGTCTCTCTGGAGTTTGTCTCTCTGGAGTTTGTCTCTTAGGAGTTTGTTTCTCTGTAGTTTGTCTCTTTGGAGTTTGTCTCTCTGGAGTTTGTCTCTCTGAAGTTGGTCTTTCTGTAGTTAGTGTCTCCTGAGTTTGTCTCTCTGGAGTTGGTCTTTCTTGAGTTTGTCTCTCTGGAGTTTGTCTCTCTGGAGTTTGTTTTTCGGAGTTTGTCTCTCTGGAGTTTGTTTTTCGGAGTTTGTCTTTCTGTAGTTTGTCTCTCTGTAGTTTGTCTCTCTGGAGTTAGTCTTTTCGAATCGATTTTGTCCTGTTTCAGTTATACCACTCTAGTAAGTCGAGCCCATTAGCGCCTGATCCAATCAGGGTTCAGCCATGTGTTTGGTGTCTAATCTGAACCAATAGAAATTGCATGGCGGTAACATCTATCTTTCTATCTAGCTCATCATCCAATTAGAGATAAATCCTTATATAAGCGCTAACACTACATGGAAATATTTAATCAATTTTAAAAAATTCAATAAATTTTGATCGAGTGAGCACAAACATTAAATTTACATATTAAAAAACATAATTTTCTTTGAGTTTATTAACTAATCAGTATAAGATGCTCACCCAAGACAATTAAAAAGATTTGATGGCGAGTAATTAGTTTTTTATAGATTTCTGCTTTACCTTTAAACTATGTTTATTGTTTTAAGATCAGATAGTTCGTCTGTTCAGACTTCATAAAAACATTTGACAAAATGAAAAAAAGTTTAACTAAAACTCTGTCGAGTTTTAGTCTTTACTTGGTGTACATAGTTCCTAAAGCCGGATTTTACTTGGGTTTAAGCTTTTTAAATCTCAGCTTTGATATAGTTCATAAAAAACTATCTATCTAATAATTAGATTTAAATTAGCGAGGAACTCCTATCCCACTCTCGTATTTTGATGATTGATTTGAATTTTATGATTAAAATTTTCTTATTTAAAAAAAAAATCATGCTATTATTTTATTTAACTTGTTCCATTTACGTTTTACTTATTTTGTAAAACAGATTCATTATTTAATATAAATACCACAAAAATAGATTAAGATGATGTTTTTATATTTAAATTTGATATTGCGATAAACTTGATAAAATTTAACTGCATGAATATAATTCCAGATATCGTGCAAAAAGAAGTAAACAGTTTTTTCTCAAGAAAGGGGGGGGGGGAGAAATGAAAAAATATTTTGATTTTTTAACATTCGAAAAAATGTTGATTTTACAGTTTGCAGCTAGACTATATATTTTCAATTTGGAGCCCAATAAGATGCTCTCAATTGTAAATTTGGATGATTTGCGTAACCTAGTACAACCCAACCCTTGGAAATCTCATAAATACATTTCAATTGTTGGAAAGCATCAAAAATGTTCCTTTTTGAAAATATTAAAGCATCAAAACTGTCTCTAATACAGGTGCAATATACGTAAATTCCCGTTTTTCCATCATTAAATGATTCTTTTCTTTTGGAATTCATATAATATAATAATAAGAATAACNGGGGAATAACTGATGGCCACATATTCAAAGTCACAATTACATCAATGTCATACTTTTGGAACCAAATTATGTCTGAGACACTATCTAAATCACAATTCTAAATCACAAGTATGGCTAGCCTCATTTTCAGTCACAATATTTAACTCCAAAGAAAAATTCTTACTTTTGAGACATGCTTATGCCTAAGACACTTTCTAAGTCACAAGAATGTAAAACACTCTCTAAGTCACAAATATGCATTAGATATATTCGAAAACACTTTCCAAGTAAAAAATATGTCTTAAATCCATTGTAAGACTCAATTCCAACTCAAAACTATGTCTAAGTCGTGTTTTTTAGGCTTCATTGTGTTGAAGACCCATTCTAAGTCACAATTCTAAGTCTTAATAAGGTCTAAAACACCATTTCAGTCACACTTATGCCTAATTCACAGTTGTCTGGCTTAATTATATTCAAGTCACAGTTCTAAGTCACAATAATGTCAATGTCTTACTTTTCAGACCAATTTGTGTCTAAGACATTTTCTAAGTCAAAAATTCTGACTCCCAGCTTCGTCTAAGACACTTTCTGAGTCACAAAAACACCTTCTCAGTCCCAGTCATGTCTAAGTCACATTTTTTGAGCTCAATTATGTATGAGACACATTGTTTGTCACAGTTCTATGTAGCAATTACTTTCTATTTTCTCAAAAAGACTGAGTAAGGCATCAAAGATTTTCTTTTTGCTTTTGATGCTTTCAAATGCTGTTTTTTATGCTTTTAAATTACACTTTTGATGCTTTACTACACATTTAAAGTGTTGAAATTGAAAGACTTGATACTATATTGGGGCACCCAAGGATCTCAAAGTGGGAAAAATTGGAATACTGTAATACTATAAAAATAAATTTGTACAATTTTCTAATCATATCTTTTGTAAAAAACTTTTTAAAAATAAAAAAATGGTAAAAAATACATAACAAGGCAAATAAACTATTGAAATATTGACGGAGTAAAATTATTTGGTAAGCCCGATGCCAAGGCATTGGGCAGTGTGTGAGCCCCCCCCCCCTGAACCCCTATTAATAGATTTAAATACATAAATCAGCTTCATAACGGACTTTGTAATATAAAGTGACCAGCTTCGTTTAAACAAGGGGAGAATGCTCGATTCACAATATAACCATTAAAACCTTTAACTTTTCTATGTATAAAAAAAAATAAATATCTATCTCAGTAAACCTTAAAGGAATTGAGTTTTTGCCACAAACTCAAATTTTCTAATCCTTATATATTGGCAACCTAATGGTGGAAACCCTTGATATTTCAAACTTAGGCTATTTGATCTAACAGAATTCATAGTTTGAAATATCTAACGTCTACGAAATTGGATTGCAAAGATATAGGTATTAGAAAATCAGAGTTTGTGACAAAGAATCAATTCCTTTGTCAACTATTTTCTTATTTGAATCTGCTGACCGCTACGCCGGTCCGAGCAGTTAAAGCATCTTTTCAAAATAAAAGTTAGTTCGATGCAAACCTTGTCTTATTACGGACAGGAAGAGAGTATAGAGTTAGTTCTACACTTTTAGTACTTAAAGTTTATCCGGAGAGACTGGCTAGTTTGGTACATATATAATGTGGAAAAGAAAGTTGTTTTTCCGGAGAGACTGGCTAGTTTGGTACATATATAATGTGGAAAAGAAAGTTGTTTTTCTAGTTTAAACAGTGTTTAATTCTGAAAATTCCTAAGTGGTTTTCCTGTAGTAAAATGCGCCACTCACTTTTGTCGAGAAACCACCTTTAAAACTAATCTGTTTTGAAAATTATAAACAAGGATATCCAATCATCAGACAACACTTTTAAGTGTACTGTTGTGAATCGGACATGCAGCTCTATTTTGATGGATGATCAAATGAAACAACGTTTACAGACTCTTGAACATGTCAAAAGATGAATTAATTGCTAGAGGATTTCATTGCTGGAAGAAATAATTGCTGGAGGAATTAATTGCTGGAGGAATTAATTGCTGGAGGAGTTAATTTCTGTATGAATTAATTGCTGAAGGAGTTAATTTCTGAATGAATTAATTTCTGGATGAATTAATTACTGGAGGAATTAATTGCTGGAGGAATTAATTGCTGGATGAATTAATGGCAGGATTAATTTCTGGATGAATTAATTGCTGGATGAATTAATTGCTGGATGAATTAATTTCTGGATGAATTAATTTCTGGATGAATTAATTACTGGAGGAATTAATTGCTGGAGGAGTTAATTTCTGTATGACTTAATTGCTGGATGAATTAATTGATGCAGGAATTAATTGCTGAATAAATTAATTTCTGGAAGAATTAATTGATGGATGAATTAATTGCTGGAGGAATCAATTGCTGGAGGAGTTAATTTCTGGATGAATTAATTGATGGATGGATTAATTGCTGGATGAATTAATTTCTGGAAGAATTAGTTGATGGATGAATTAATTTCTGGATGAATTAATTGCTGAATGAATTAATTGCTGGATGAATTAATTGCTGGATGAATTAATTGCTGAATGAATTAATTGCTGGATGAATTAATTGCTGGATGAATTCATTTCTGGATGAATTAATTGCTGGATGAATTTATTTCTGGATGAATTAATTGCTGGATTGCTGGATAAATTAATTGCTGGATGAATTTATTTCTGGATGAATTAATTGCTGGAGGAGTTAATTTCTGGATGAATAAATTAAGCTGGATGAATTAATTGCTGGATGAATTAATTCATGGATGAATTAATTGATGGAGAAATGAATTGTTGGACGAATTTAATCTTGTTCAGTTTCTGACGCAATAGCAATCTACTGTAATAATAATTCCATTAAAACTCGAATAAAGATAGAGCACAAGAGCTTTCTAATGATGTATCATTTGTCATATTTGGACATAAAACATGGGATTTAGAGGGGGGGGTCAAATTGACCCCCCCCAGCATATCCTGGTTTTCAAGTACCCCAGCAGGGATAGGGTTAAATGAATTGAGTCTTTGTCACAAACTCTGATTTTCTCTTCCCTATATCTTTGCAACCCAATGTCGCAGATCTTTGACATTTCAAACTATGACTTCTATTAGATCAAATAATAAAAGCTTGATATATTAACGGTTTACGGCATTGGGTTCGAAAGAAAGAGGGATTAGAAAATCAGAGTTTGTGGCAACGACTCAATTCCTTTAGATCAATTTGTTATCAAAGGTCACAGCTCTTCCTGGATAATGAGCAAACTATTAAATATGAGACTTTAATGATGAAGAACTTTAAAAAAACAACCTGAAGATCTGATTTGTATTTCTTACAATAATATAGTTTTTTTCAAGGAATGATTTCACACAAAAAAATTTACAGCTCCAACAAACCTTGAGTGTAAGAGCTGAATGAATTCCGTACAGTCGTCTATAAAGTCTCATCTGGCCCAATTTGTGGGTAACCCTGTACATTTTTACAAAATATTTCATTTTTAAAGCTGCACGCACCTCTGCCCCTTTTGTAAAAGTAAATTCAACATATATGAAGCATAAAGTCTGACCGTGTCAACCTTGTTGCACCGGCTTGTCCTTTTGATTTTCTGCTTAATTAAGACAATGTCCGTACGGTACAGCAAAAACTGGGACCGGAAAGGTTGACCCAGCTCGGAAATTCAAATGTTCTACGGCTGCCCGTGGCTGAAAACCTTTGACTGAACTAAATAAATTAAACATATATTGTCTTTTTTGTTAAACCTTAGGTCTAATTAAATAATATGTGGTGGGGTTTGAAAAATATTTATTGGTAAAAACTTATTACGGAATATATGAGAGCGTTATGGCTGTAGAGTTAGTTGTAGGGGGATTTAGGGAGCTTCTCAACTGCTGGTATTGATGAATCTTCAGAACACGGAGCTGTCTGGAGCAGAACTGTAGAAGGCTGCTTCTGTAGGGAGCTGCTTAAAGCTGGTGTAGATGAACCATTAGAGCTGTCTGGAGCTGAACTGTAGAAGGCTGCTTCTGTAGCTGCTTGAAGCTGGTGTAGATGAATCTTTAGAGCTGTCTGGAGCTAAACTGCTGAAGGCTGCTGCTGTAGGAGAGCAGCTAGAAGCTCATTAAAAAAAAGAATCCGAGATTTGGATATCTGATTTTAGAGTATCAATAAAATGCCCTTTTTGTTGGTACAGAGTTGATTTGTGAACTCTGGAGCTGAGCAAGGGACGGCTTAGACTAATCATTTCCTCTTTCCAAGATTTCAACGTTAGATTTAAGGCGTAGTCTTAACCTTGAGCCAATACGTAAAAATACGCACAGTGTTTACAGGATGTTCACAAAAAATACAAACATATAAATACATTTTAAATATTCATAAAAGCACAAATATCAATTCTTAAAGAATCTGTTACATTTGTTTGTGATTTTTACAAAAAAGGAGTTTTAGTTTATGTAAACACCCAACAGAGTTTCCATGTACAGAGATAATTGATTTCAATTCATGATCTAACATTCTTTGATAAAAATTCGCACTTTGAACTCCGTTACATCTTATAATAAGATAAGATGAGATATAGTTTATTGCTAAAAATACACATACAAGTTATAATGTTACAGGGAAAAAATCTGCAACTATTTTTATATTGTTTACTATATTTATGTAATTATAGCAATTATACACCTGGAACTCTTAATGGTAAAAACAAATGGAAAATAGGTTAATCCAATAAAGAGTTTAATTCATTTATCTTAAATGTACCGAGATAATAGGAAGGAAAATGAGGATCAATTCAAAGGACTTGAAAACAATTAAATTAGTTAAATAATAAAGAATATTGTTTAGAAGTTTGAAAAAATTCACATGTTTTTATCAAAAAAAGACTGGTCATAGAATATTCACAAAAATTAACAAATGAAAATTTGGTGTTGATGAAGCTTCAAACCTCCCAATCACAGAGTAAACAAACAGGTGTTAGTTCCATCCCACATTATTATTTGAAAACATATTTAATATCGGTCCGGGTTGAACCTCTTCAGTTCTTGAGATTTGTTTGTGTTATAAAGATTCCACACAAAGATGACAAGATATGCTGTGCTGTTCAGTATGCGTAATCTGGCGGAAAGCCCCATTTTGCCTCATATAGTCTGTATTCGTACTGTACTGCTTGCCCTGATTCTCCGACATAGGGCTAAGCGACCTAGGGTCAAATGCCATAGGGTCAAATGACATAGGGTCAAACGAAATAGGGTGAAACGACCTAGGGTCAAACGAAAAATGATCAAAAACGTAACAAAGGGTAAAACGACATTAGGGTCAAAAAGTGCGACAAACGGGCAAGATTTCATTTAGACTATTTTTGGTTAATTTAAACTATTTCTATGTTCATTATAACTACTAGCCACAGCGCTCAGCCCCACAGCCTGTTCTAGCTCCAGCACTCGGCCCAGAAATTGTCTTAACTTAACCTAACCCTTAAATAATACATATTTTTATGTTATGTTTTATATTAATTTAAACTACTAGCCCCAGCGCTAGGCCCTTTAACCTGTCCAATAAAGATAAAAAAATTTCGTGTGCTGTACTTTTAAAAGTAACTAAGGAATTGAGTCTTTGCCACAAACTTTCTTTTTATTATCCCTTTATCTTTGTAACCCAATATTGCAGACCTTAGAAATTTTATGCTATAAATTATGTTACAACAAATAATCTAAGTTTAAAATAATTTGCCTCCCAAGAGCTTCTAGGGGGAGCACTACTACCCTTGCCCCCCCCCTCTTGTAACGCCCTCGTATTAGGATTAGAAAATTTGAGTTAACTCCTAATTTAAATCCTTTTCCTAATCTTCATATTAATTATACTCCTACTCCTAAACCTATCCTTCTCAACACAATCCTACACCTAATCCTACTCCTATCCTACTATCCTTATAACCTTTTCTAAATTTCAACCTTTAAATGCTTATTTTTAATAAGCAAATTTTATCCTAATAACCTGTTCTAAATTTCAACCTTTAAATGCTTACTTATAATAAGCAAATTTTATCCTTATAACCTTTTCTAAATTTCAACCTTTAAATGTTTATTTTTAATAAACAATTGCCAATATCTGACAATTTTCGTTCAATGCAAATTAATAATTAACTATCCTTATAACCTTCCCTAAATTTCAACCTTTAAATCTTGATTTGCAAATATTTTTTTTCGCAAACTTATGCCAATTTTCGTCAGTACTATAACTATCATATTACTACCCCTTCCTCATCCTATTCCTACTGCCTAACAGTTCAAACTATCTCAATAGTGAATTGTATTCTCCAAGCTTGTGGAAAACGGTAAGGATTATCCACACGCAAAATAATTTCTTGCAAAATAAAAATGTCAATTACGCCTTTCCATCTCGGAAAAGTATAGTATAGATTTATATATTTATACACTCCACTTACCCTTGATGTAATATAATATAAAGTCCGACACATGTCCGACATCACTTGAAAACTCAACTTAGAGATTCTACAACAGATAGGAAATTTCTATCTTTTTGTCTTTTATTTAACCTGGAAGGACAATAATATATAATGCATTTAATTTTGTTGCATCCATTCATTAAGTTGAAAAATACTCCTGGAAATATAAACAGTCATAGCTTTTCCTTCAAATTATAAAATAATTTTACAATGTAAATTTTACAGTTTTGATCCTTCAGATCCTTCTNTTTGATCCTTTAGATCTTTCTTCTAATGCAATTAAATTCGTTGCACCTATTCCTGTAGTTGAAAAAATTCAAATTTAAAATAATTTCACAATGCAAATTTTACAGTTTTGATCCTTTAGATCTTTCTTCTTTAAAAAATAAAACCTGTACTGGTATTTTTAACCCTCAATCTTTTTGTAATGCAGTTAGACGTGAAACCATCAAGACCCGAACGATGGAGAAATTTCGGGACAAGGATCGCTTGATCATCGATAAAGGTTCTACATCACTGTGGATCTCAGATCTGCAAGCTACGACACAGATAACTACGGTAAAGAAAGATTAATCTGATGTTTAAAGTTTTCACTAAGGACGGAATACGTCACTCAACAGTCAACTGTAAAAATCTATTTATGAGAATTTTAAATTGATCTCGATATCCTGTGTGAGCATAATTTAGTTATGAGAATGGACGACTCTTCCCGTTATATAATGTAGGTACAGCATAAATATGATAATACTGGATTGATATCGATATTCAATGTGGGTACAGCTTAAAGATTGATCCCGATATCTAACGTAGGCATAGTTAAATTCTAAAAACTTCTTACGTAGGCACAATTTAAATATGATAATATATGATCGACCTCGTTATCCGATGTGGGTACAGGTTAAATGCTCGAAAATAATTTCGATCTTGATATGTAATGTGGGTATAATTAAAAATCTGGAAATTTCGATGCCTCTCTTAATCCTTTTAGTTGTAAATCACTCCCGACAGTATAAACCTACGTGCATAATTCTTACGTAGTGGGAAATGATTTTTTAAAAAATAAACTGTACAAAGAACCTTTCTTTCTCCTTTGAAAATATTTCCACGTCCTCCATCTTTAATCTCCTCTCTCTTTAACCTGTACATGCATATTTAGAACCGCAATATTTTGTATATAGTTAAACGAGAAACCACCTTGACCTGAACGCCTGATGATCTGGGAGATCCCAGAGGATCTGGGAAACCTTAAAGCTGTAATCCTCGGCGAAGAATAACGGTAAAAAATTATAATTCCAAAGGTCCCTGTGAATACTGGATCCACTTCATTACTAATAAGCCCTAAACCATCTTTTATACAGAGAGCAGGTGTGTGCACAAGGACCGTTTTTGGACTGTAAAGGTTGAAACATTTGAACTGAAACTAACGTAAAAGTACTAAATAAAATTCTAAGCTCTTAAATTAAGAAAACTAACCCCAAGGTTAAATCCATAATGTTAATGGTAAAAAAAATATGTTAATTTTCATAAATCTAAAATGGTACGCTTGAAATTCGTTGACTAGGATAAAAATTTTTTTTCATGTATACTACTGTAACCCTGCCCCTATACAGAATTTGAAATAAATTGTTGCGATTAGTAAACCAAGAGGAAATGAGCCAAAAAACTGAATTTTCTTTCTCATCCGGATTTCTTCCCAAAAATAAACTGAGATAAATTCACTTTTGTAATCCTAAAACCTACTGACTTTACCAAACAAAAAATCTTTTTCAAGGTTCTCTTTTTATACTTAGACAAACTGGAATCCGGTTCAACAATCCTGTAAACTATAAATGATACGTAAATAAATATCTAGATTTCAAAAAAAAAAAGATTTAAAGAAACCAGTTTTTTTTTGGAGAAACCAAGTAAAGTTCTCAAAAAGTTTGGTTCAAAATGTTTTAAAAATTTTTTATGATAAACCTGTATTTTTCTACATCACCCTGCAGTGTATGATTAATTAGTTTATTTCTGACTGTTTTTACACTATATATTTATCCACCATACATACACACACATACCTATCTACTTAAACCCTTTTATTAACAGAGGGGGAGACGAGGTATAAAAACATAAACAAAAAGATTTATTCAATTTGAGCCTGCAATCTTTAGCATAATATACATCTATAAATCATATACATTCAGCCTATTCAGGACTTAGAGCATACAGGTGTATACAGATATAGATAGATAAATAGATAGATGAATAGATAGAAAGATATATAGATATATAGATAGATAGATATATAGATAGATAGAAAGATATATGGACAGATTGATAGATATATAGATGGATAGATAGATAGATAGATAGATAGATAGATAGATAGATAGATAGATAGATAGATAGATAGATAGATAGATAGATATGATTTTCACAAAGCCATTGACGGAGAAGGGGAGGGGAGGGGAGGGGAGAGGAGGGGAGAGTTCCATTATCTCCATATTTATCCCAAAATAGATTCAAAATTCTAAAAGGTCCAGATTGCAAAGATACAATTTATCAATTCTGAAAAGAGATTCAGATGATTTTCATCATTCGCAATATATTCATATTAACAGTGTGTGGTTGGGTATAGGGGGATGGGGTTGTGGTATTGAAAAAGGCAAAAGAAAACACAAAAAATATCTAAATCTCTCAATTATTTTTTTCAGATTTATTTGATTGGCATACAGTATATCCGCCCTGACACTATCAGAGGAATAATCTGAATTTAGTTATTTTATAAATTTCATTCTCATATCTTTATTATATACAAGCTCAAGTGCCCGGCGTCGCCCGTGGAATTTAAAAAAAAATCGTTTTTTAGCCTTTTTAACCCGCAAGGAACTATAATAATGGGTTTCTTTAAAACAAAATTTAACCATTTTGATTGAGCCGTTTCGCAAGCTATAGCTATCATATATAGATATGAGCGTAGAGCTTTATTATATAGAAGACTAGCTAAAAAGGGCCAGGTGGAATTGAGCTTTATTATATAGAAGACCAGCTAAAAAGGGCTGGGTGGAATTATTTAAAACTCGAACTTTGGAGAAAAAAAAATATATTTTTAGCCTATGTTACCACCAGGGTTCCCTTAAAAAATCAGCCAATTTGGTTCAGCCGTTTGGCCAGTTATAGCTATTAACATATATATACGAAAATAAAACTACATATGTATAAAAGCGAAGAGCCTTATTTAAATAGATAACACAAACATATAGATATCTTTTTACATCATTATTTGTCATGTAATTTTTATATCAAGAAACCCCAAATAAATAAATGCATCTAATTGTTGAGTTCAAAGGGGGGGGGGAGGCTGGTTATGTGTGGTGAGAACTAGTGCAGTCAACTTTCCAGATAAAACAAGAGGGTATATATTTCCCAAACAACGGTCCCGGCCGGTCAACTTGAGTTCTCGAATAGTTGATATTTCATAGGCTTTCCTCTTATCCTCGTTCTGACCCATTTCACGGGCAGCCGAAGTACAGTTGAATTTCTGAGCCGGGTCAACCTTTTCTGTCCCAGTTTGTACTGTACCTAGCTCTATGGACATGACTAGCCGGTGCAACAAGGTTGACGCGGTCAGACTTTATGCTTTAAATTTGTTGAATTTACTTTTACTAAAGGGGCAGAGGTGCGTGAATTAGACGATAATATTATGAATCTATATATTTCAATCCTGAAAATACATCCTATATCAAATAATTGTGTTGGGTACGAGTTTAATGTTTGTGATAGTTAGTTTTATTATTTTGAAAATTATCTTACTAGTGCTGGATAAATTCGAGAGCAGGTTATTGAACAGTGCTAAAACAGCGTTTTGATCTTCTGAAATAAAATGACAATTGAATGCAAAGATTTATAAATCACGAGTTTTAAGGGGTTTTAACTAAATTTGAAGCGAGAGCACTACACGTGAAGTTGTTTACATATCTGTCGGAGGTATGAAATGTTTGGTTTGGCCACCAGAGAAAATTTGGTCAAAGACAACCTTGCAACGGAGTAAGATCATTGTTTTTGGTTAACACTAATATTTATTACTAAGAACACTTTCTTAAAAGCGTTTCTTTACTATGCAAATGAATTCAGTTTAAATACATTCTTGTTAATTATCAGCATTGCTTATTTCAGATACATTAAATAAATTCATATGTAAAGCAGAAGTTGAATACCAGGTTGGGTGTATGTTTGTATGTGTGTATATAGTGTGCATGTAGAGATGTATGTAAAGCTAAGAACGGGTTGCCCTGATTTGAATTTGATGAGTAAAATTATAGACTAAAGAATGATAATAGGGCAGATTGAAGGAGAAACATTTGTTCCTGTCCCCACATACATTTATTACAGTGCTTCACTATCTAACTATCTGTCCTCATATACATTTATTACAGTGCTTCACTATCTAACTATCTGTCCTCATATGCATTTATTACAGTGCTTCACTATCTAACCATCTGTCCTGATATGCATTTTTATATTGCATAACTATCTAACTATCTATCCACATATACATTTATTATAGTGCCTAACTATCTAACTATCTGTCCCCATATACATTTATTACAGTGCCTAACTATCTAACTATCTGTCCTCATATACATTTATTAAAGTGCCTAACTATCTAACTATCTGTCCTCATATACATTTAATACACTTTCTAACAATCTAAATATCTGTCTTCATAAATATTCATTACAGTTACTAATTATCTAACTATCTAACTATATATCTTTATGTACATTTGTTATAGTGTCTAACTATATAACTATCTATCCTCATATAAATTTATTACAGTGCCTAACTTTTTAACTATCTGTCCTCATATACATTTATTACAGTTTCTAACTATCTAACTATTAATCCTCATATTCATTTATTACAGTGCCTAACTATTTAACTATCTGTCCTCAGTATTCATTTATTACAGTGCCTAATTATCTAACTATCTAGCCTCAAATGCATTTCATACACTTTCTAACAATCTAAATATCTTCATAAATATTTATTACGGTTACTAATTATCTAATTATCTAACTATCTTCCTCATATACATTTAATACAGTTTCCAACTATCTTACTATTGATCCTCATATTCATTTAATACACTTTCTAACAATCTAACTATCTATCTTTATATATAATTATTGTAGTGGCTAACTATCTAACTATCTGTCCCCATATATATTTATTGCAGTGTCTAACTATCAAACTATCTGCTCTTGTATACATGTATTAGTTTTGTACCTATCTAACTAGCTATCCACGTATAATATCATTGCAATTTCTATCTAGCTAAATATCTCTCCCCACCTACATTTAATACACTTTCTAACTATCTAACTTTATCTATCCTCATTTATAGGGTTTCACGAAATTTCAATATTTTTTGTACAATTTGTGTAATTTTTGCTTAAATATTTTTTTGCGAACTATTGTGCATCTTTTCCTCAAAAAGCAATAAGTCATGCCTCTGAGCCTTGTTGGGATTAGAGTTATTTTTAAACCCTCTCCCCCTGAAAAAAGGGATTAAGTTGTATTAATTATTCTAATAATAAATATTTAATTCTGAGAAATAAGAAATTTAAGAAAATCTGTCAATTTCCCTTTCTTTCAGATCGAATATAATTTACCATTTAAAGTTAAAATCTAAACTAGAGTGCAGCCCTCTTATATTTTTATTTTTATTTTTTTGAGATTATAGAAAGGAAAAAAATTTAATTTGGGTTGAAGTTTGTCAATTTCACAAAAACGGCTAAACTAACCCTTGTGCCACCCATTAACATAAAAAAATGTTATATATAAAATAAGCTGAAAGGCCCGTCGTTGCCTGTGGAAAAAAGTGAAAAAAAGAAAAAATTTCGAATTTTTATAGCCTATAACATCCTCTAGATAACCATTAGTGCCTACAAAAAAATTCCTGTTTTTCTTTTAATTACTAGCTGAAGGGTCCGGAGTTGCCCGTGGAAAAAAAAATTGAAAAACAAATTTTTGAAAAAAAGGTTGATTTTCTTTAGCCTATAACACCCCCCGGCCACACCCGAGTGTCCACAACAAATTTCAGCCAAATTGGTCTAGCCGTTTGGCCGGCTATAAACAACATATATATATATACGAATGTCTTGTTTGATTAAAAAGACTAGCTGAAGTGCCCGGCATTGCCCGTCGAAAGAAAAATAAAAATGTTTTGAAGAAAAAAAAATTTCGAATTTCTTTTAGCCTATAACATCCCCCGGCCACCCCTGAGTGTCCACAAAATTTTTTTGGCCGGCTATAGACAACATATATATATATATATATATATATATATATACACGAATGTCTTGTTTTTTTATATAGATGTCTGTGCACCTTATAAACTACCACTCTAGTCAAAAAAAATGTATGACCTCATTATGAATACAATTTATATAAATATGTATATTTTACATAATGTTGTATATGTATACAGTTTATATAAATATGTATATTTCATATAATGTTGTATATGTATACAATTTATATAAATATGTATATTTTTTATAACGTTGTATATGTATACAATTTATACATGCGCCCGGGGATTACATGTTCTTGTTGAATGATAACTTCCCATTAATCTTCAGCTTACTTAAATAATAAAACTAACAAATTGGACCACCTACATTCACCCGCCTTTATATACATACCGCCTACCTACATTCAGCCGCCTTTATATACATACCGCATACCTACATTTACCCGCCTTTTTATACATACCGTCTACCTAAATTCACCTACCATAATATACA